AGTGTAGTTTTTAGTACATAGTATCGTAATAATACTAAGCGAAAATACCATAATTTTAACTAGAGGTCGACTTGTATTATTATTGGGTCCTTTTACATTTTAATATTACCCCTACGATATCGAGAATTTCTGTAGTGTACATGAGTACCGTGGTTTTTTTTAATAAAATTAGAATTAGTTCCCTTTCTGGTCAATCGATATGCTCGATCGATGCATTTATGTTGCATCCTTGATACAACTATGATGAGGGGCTACCACGATAAAAACTCTATGCTCCAGAAGCAATCAGTTTGAAAACAGAATTTCAAAATAGTTTATGGATCAGATTTTCAGATTCAATTAAGCAGATATGGTTTCGTTTGTTCTCTTTTAGTTTTACCCTTAAAAAAAGTAAAGTTACAGCCTATATACGCCCCACTGCTGGGTTCAGGCCTCTGCTCATTTCTGAGAGGGTTTTTGGGCAAGGAAATGTCGGCCGCGCTGCCCCAATGCGTGTTGGCGAACTTCACATGTCTTCGAAATATTTTTTTCTTATTTATCAGACAGGCAGGTTTCCGCACGATGTTTTCCTTCACCGCCGAGTAGGTGCTAAATCAGCACTTAAAATTGCAATTAACAATTTCATTGGTGCCGGCGGGGATCGAACCCGGGTTACTCGCGTTCTGTTATACTTACAGCGACCGTTAACCATCTGAGCTACCACGGCTCAGTTTTACCATTATTGAATATAAAATATATTAGGTACCAATATTTAACATTTAATTTACACTAAGTTCTTTAGACATAAATTAAACAGAAATAAAAATAAAACCATCAAAAATCGAAACGTATGGATAAACTAGACGCGTGACGCCAAAATCCTGGCACATGTGAAAAAAAAAACATGAAACGTAAAACGTGATATTTTTTTTTAAATAGTATAATTTTATTTTCCATGTACAATAGTTTTGAGGGTCTGAATCCAGCCCTGGCCTAATCTTGGTAACGTAACTAAACTAACTGTAAAATAAAAGTTCAAAAATGCGTTTATATCATAATTTAATTGTAACAAAATGAATATAAGGTTATTTACCGATGATACGATATCCCAGGTTTTTTAAATATTTGTATCGAATTTTTGCATTCTTTTACCACGCAACTAGACATATTTGTGACAGAAAAATCTGTCCTGCGCGCGCACCACTGTCGACCGATTCGCGTTGGCCCTAAACTGTAATTTTAGGGCCAGCGCACTGGTCCGTTTTAGTTGTTCGGTCGGCCCGGTCCTTACGCTAGTAATATATAAGTCAATGGGTAGGATCTACTTCCATCTTAATTTCAAACCAGGAGTCTGGAATAGTGAAATATTAAGCGTAACTAGGTAAAATAAAACATTGCTTAAATATATATTATTTTTCAAGATATTCAAGTATTAAGGAAGGAAAATGATCTATATTATTGGTCGCGGAAGGGTGATGTAATAAACTATTAAAATTGTAATAAAGTGTTTTATTCGAATACATAGGTAATATACTTTGATTATATATAATCAAAGGTGATATAACATTTGTTCGAATATTCATTTTTCTCGCAAGGCATACTTAACCATAAGCAATATGGTGTGCGTTTGAAATACCGCTGTACGTTTAAATTGTGAAAAAAAAAATTGTGTGTTTATACTTGACTTCACAGATTCAGTAATTTATTCTTAGGGCAATATATATGCTATTGCAATAAAGCTCCGGAAATATTCAAAGTCTCTATTACCAAGTTTAAATAAAACATTAAACAAAAACTGTATAAAAAGGGTTATTATAATATAAATGAATATATGGTTGAATAACTACTGGGAATGAGTTATAAATAGTTTGTACAATCTTACATACTGGGATCGAGGCATTCCATCTTAGTCCTCAGGGGTGATAACGCATCTGAATTTTGATTCTTAATCGAGTTTAAATGTATAATAGATGTCTATGGGCCACAGCATCCACTTACCGTCAGGTAGACTGTGTGCTCGTTTGTCACACTTTTTCTATAAAAAAGACGGATTTTTTTTTCAAACCAGTGGTAAAGAAAAAAGATGACTTTCAATAAGAATTAAATGTGATCTATATTGAATAAAAAATATTATATTCTATGTGTTTAAGGTTCTCGAGTGACAGCCTCGTACCGGTAGGCGAGGTGTAGGGCGACCTCCCACTAGATGGAGTGACGACTTGGTAAGACATGCAGGAAGTCGATGGATGCAGGTGGTTCAGGACCGTGCTTTGTGGCATATCTTGGGGGAGGCCTATGTTCAGCAGTGGACTTGTGAAGGGCTGTAATGATGATGATGATGATGATGATGTGTTTATGCTTTGTCAGATTATTTAGTTTAATACAGTGGTGTGCAAACTTTTTTATTGGGGGGCCAGAAAGTTAAAAAAATTTCATAGGAGGGCCAGAGTTATAGGAAAAATGCATTTTGTGTTGAAACCTTTAATCATATAAAACATTACAGCATATATGCTTGCACAAATGTTAAAAATTACACTTTAACTTTTATTTGAAGGCCCTGCTGTGGTAGGCGTGTGAGACATATGAAATTGCTTTTGATTTGCCATAATATTTTCAAATGCAGGTTCGAGCTGTGATGAAGTAACTTTCAACAGCGCGAAAAGGTGTTCATCAGTAAGTCGGTTTCTGATTGAGTTTTTCCGCAATTTCATGGTCGAAAAAGTCTGTTCGCACACATACGACGACGCAAACATCGCCATAATTTTCTGGGCGTGAGCAATTATCTTTGGGAATTCAGCTTTAGGCAATGTTCTATAAAAATCTAGTTTTGTGGAATTTAAGAACAGTTGTTTTAAATGGGTGCTGCACTGCATTTCAATAATTTCCAACTGCAATTCTGCAGATATATTTTCCGGATCTACATTAAACGGCATCGAGAAAACGTCTAGTGATGACTGAATGTTCTTAAAATCTTGAAACCTAGTTTCAAATTCTGTGTGAAGATTTTTCAACGCCTGACTAAATTCGTTCAGTTTGTTTTCACTCACTGGTGCCATGGATTTTAAACGCGGAAAGTGAGTTAAATCGTTCTTAGCCATGCAGTTATAAAACAGAAAAAGCTGAGTTTTAAATGATTTTAGACAACCCCAAGTCTCATCTATAAATTGGTTCTGTCCTTGCAATTTTTTATTTAACTTGTTGTAGTGTTCGAGCAAATCGGTAAAAAATGCAAAATCGGTACACCAATCTTTGTTTTCGAAGATTTGGAAATCAGACCATTTGTCTGTTTTATTCTTTAAGAAATCTTGTATTTCCTCTTTTAAATTCCAGATCCGTTCAAATGCATACCCACAACTTAACCATCTTACTTTCGTGTGGTAAAGAAGATCAGAATAATCTGCGTCGATTGCAATCAGAAATTCTTGGAATTGCCGGTGTACCAAGCCCCGGGATCGAATCGTATTAATTAGTTTTATAACCACATTAAGTACATGGGTAAAATCTAGTGCAGCTTTACAAAGGACATCCTGGTGAATTATACAATGTAAAAATACAACATCTTGATTAGGATTCTGGTTCCGAAAAATACCTGAAAATCCCGCGTTTTTTCCAACCATATTTGGGGCTCCATCTGTAGTTATATTGCATAATTTTGAAATATGAGCATTTAAATTTTGAAGACCTTTGGAAAATTCGTTATAAATTATTTGCCCCGTCGTTTTTCCTTTTAGTGATTGCAAACAAGCTAGCTCTTCAGTAATATTAAATTCGTCGTCAACGCCTCTAATGAAGATCAATAATTGAGCAGTGTCACTTCTATCCGTACTTTCATCCATCGTCACGGAAAAATATTTAAATTTTTCTATACGTTGCATTAATTGAGTCGACAAGTTTGATGCAATAGCATCAATTCGCGTTGTTACTGTTTTTCGCGATAAGCTGACAGACTCAAACTCTCTTTTTTTTCTGGGCATAAAATGTTACTCACACTCACCATACAATCTTTTACGAACTCTCCTTCCGAATATGGTTTGTTATTTTTAGCAATGTTATAAGCCACAACATATCCAGCCAGTGTAGAGGCTTTTTGAGCAGTGTTTTTCTTTATAAACATATTTCGTTGGCCAGATATTGTTTTTTTTAGGTTTTCCGCATTCACCTTTTTTTCGGCGTCATTCATTAAAGCATATTTGGTTTTAGCATGCTTGGTGTTAAAATGGCGAGCGAGGTTAAAATCTTTAAATACCGCCACTGCTTCGTTACATATAAGACATACTGGCTTACCGTTGTATTCTGTAAAGAAGTATTTCCAAGCCCACTCTTCTTTAAACAGTCGACACTCGGAATCAACTTTTCGTTTTTTACACGCCATTATCCCAAAAGCGGAACTTTATTTTTGATACAATTATGAATTTAGTGCGTCACTCGAACAAGCAAGAAAGAACACGGGACAAATTTAAAACAAAATTACCCACGCAAACAAGCAAAACTTTATGTGCGGCTCACTCGGTGACAGTAGGCGACTGAGTTTATTACTCACCCGCGCCCGCGCCTCTCCCTTCACCACGCTTCTTTATGCCCCACGACCCGCAACACATGAACTACGGCTACGCGTCTAGTCTAGTTGGCTCCTTTACCTATGCGTCTATTATTCTACTAAGTAAAATCTACTTTATACTTATGGACCATCAAAATATAATTATCGCGGGACATATACTATTCATGTCGAAGGACCGTCGGCGGGCCGGATTAAATGCTTTCGCGGGCCGGAGGTGGCCCGCGGGCCGTACTTTGCCCATCACTGGTTTAATACATGTTATTTCATGTGTTAGATTAAACAACCTATGTACGTATTATAATTATAATATAGTGTGTATTATGCCTGTATTTCCTCTACTGCCTAGTTATTATTAAGACTGTGAATGCAACTTAATATGAACCGTATACCTTTTCATTATTAACAATTGTAGAAACTAAAATAATTTCAAATATTTACTTTTTCTATTTCTTTGTCCATCCAGGCATGTCTAGAGCAAGAAGCAAGAGTAGCCGAGCTACGTTCCCTCGCGGCTCAGGTGGCAGCAGAGACAGGGTCCCGGGCGCTGCAAGCGGATGCAGACGCCCTGGCCAGGAGGCTACAGTTGGTGGCTGGCGCTGTTCAGGCCCTGGCTGACCTGGGCGAAGCACGACAGCTTGCTAGAGCTAAAGCCCAAAACGCAAAAGATAAACTTTGCGATATGAGACAGGTCAGTAAAGATGTAAATAAATTATAAAATCCACTTCTAGTTACTAGGATTAGTGGTATACATTATCTGTCAAACAAGTTAATTAAAGTGAATGTTTAAACGCTTATCATAATTTCTATTTGTAATATTCAGGTCTTTAAAAATAAATTCATAAACCACGAAAATTCAATAAGAATGATAATTGTTTTTTTTTTGTAGTATTAGGGTGACAAACGAGCACAAAGTTCACCTGATGGCAAGTAGATGCTGTGGCCCATAGACATCTACATCTATCCCAGATTAAGAACCAAAATGCAGATGCCTTGTCACCCCTGAGTACCAAGATCTCCGGTTCGCTACACTCATCATAAGAAACACAGTAGCATAATCTTTTCCTGGTCGAATCGACTCATTCATGCCACAACTATAATACACTACATGGCGAATATTGGATAATTATTTATATTTAAAAAGCGCTTAGATAAAATAAACCAAAATAAATAATATAAGGATTCGATTTAATAATATGTAATTCATAGATATTTCTAAAAAATAATGTGCATACAATAGCATATCAATGTTTATACAACAGTTAAAAATATACAATTATAAACTGATGAATAATGTAAACAGAGACAAAATTGGCATGCCCTTGCATTGATTGACGATAAAAAGGTCAGACAGCGTGGACAATAAAATTAAGGTGACATACATTTATCATAACTAGCAGACAAACGACCACTATCATTCGATATTTTTGAACACGATCTTAAAACATGCTAATGTTAAACTAAATTGAATATTAAGACTCAAACTCTAAGATCAAACTACATCCTATTAAGGGCCAGTTTTTAATCGTCAGATAAGAGTGATCCATCAAATAAATAATAATCTTACTGAATATAAAAGTCAAATCATTGAATTGTTTTATTAATACAACTGTAATTTTTAATTTGATTATGTCGTATTGCATACATCGAAATCGAAGTGAAGATGTAGTGCTCTGTTGTCAACAAATCAAAAAAATCGCGATCAACTCTACTTAAACCCTTTCTACAGCTTTATATCGCACTTATATAATTAACAAGTACACCAATTGCAAGAGGAGATTTCAATTAATAATTCTGACGTAGTTATAACTTTATTTATTAAAAAGAAGTTAATTGAAAATAATTGCACTTGGACGTCAGTTAATCGGTATGGATGTGAACAAGATGTCGTTCGAAAAACTGAACCTCTCACTTTGATTTTTTTTATTAGCTTTAGATTTTGGTCCTTAGAAAGTCCTTTGAATTTCACTATTGTAAACCGTTTCCTATTTGACAATTTTTTTCGTTAACAAAATACGGATCACCGGTATCATCAAGCAGTCAAAAAATGTCGTGTTAATTAAACAGAAACAACTATTTTGAACAGAACTAACTAAATTGTCAATCATTTTTATTTGACGATTAAAAAATCGGTTCTTTATTACTTGGAGACAAACGGAGTTCATACATATGGCACTATCGCTGTAGTTTAATGAATTATAAATGAGCTGCTGTAACTTTCGCATATTTGATTTATTGAAATCTGGTCACGTATAATTTACACCGCAAAAGGATAGTGGTTAGCATTTAATTTTAGTATTGTATAGCGGTGTAAAATTTTTGTCAGCTTTTTACAGAACAACTTTAAGTAATGTTAATAAAAATATTATAGTCAAATTGAAATTAACTGAATGAAACACGACTTGATTTATCATTTATAAAAAGGATGAAATAAATTACTATCTTTGTTCGCTGTAAATTTTTTTATAAAATTTAAGGGAAATTTTAATTGTAAAACCTATAATATCTTTATGTTTCTTCATTATTACAGGATTTGGCTCCAGTAGAAGAAGATGGTGAGAAAGTAGAACATAAATTGATTACCCTTCGAGATAATTTGATTGCACTTGGAAAGAGCGAAGCTGACATAGCTCCCGCTAAAGCCCAACTGCCTGATATCGACAGAGACGTTTCTGAGGAGCATTCTATCGTTAGAATACTAGAATTATGGCAGGCCATGTTCAGAGATACGTTCTTACACTACCACCGTTTGTCTACTGCTCTAATCCGGTCGGGAGATGCAGCCACGGCTTTGAAATTGTGGCATGAATACTTGCTAGATCTTCAATCTTTCCTCTCTGGTTCCTTACCAGCAGATTATGAGAACTTGACAGAACATCGCAGACTGTGTCGTGTTCATAGAAATTTATTAGCCTCACAAAGATCTGTCCTTATGAGCGAGAACAAGGAAACAAATAATAGAGACTTAGCAGACAAATTTGACATACTAACAAATCTCCATAATGAAACCCTTGCGAGGATCGTGGAAAGACACGATGAAGTATGTACTAGGATTGCCGCCTGGGACGACTACAGAGAAATTTACACTGAGCTCCTACGTTGGTTGAAAGAAATGGAAAGAGAGAAGGAAAAGTTGCAACTTAGATACGTTCACATAAAGAGAATACAAAAAATACTATCAAAGATACAGAATCTCTATGACAAGTTGCCAGAAGGCCGTAAGTTTGCGGATAAATTGTCAGTATACCTGAAGAGAGTGTTAGCCTTCACAGAGGAAACGTATGGAGCGTCGGTGAGGATGGAATACGCTGGAATAGTAAAGAGAGTTGACAACTTGCAGGCTAGTCTTGACACATGGCGTGACTTCTTGACTCGAATACTGGGACTCATCGGTGAATACGAAAATTTGACTGGTAATTTACATAAACTTTACTCAAGAACGCAGGATGAAGTCATGTCATACTCTGACGAGGATCGATTGTCACGACCGCAAATCAAAAAAGCAATTGAAAGGTACTCTGAGTTGAGAAAGAAAATTGATAAGACTGAAAATCAAATAGAAGCTCTCAGTGTGATTCAAGAACAACTAAAAGAGTGCCTGAGTCCTCAGGATATAAGAATCGTTAACCAAAAAGTCTGGCAGATGCGACAACAACGAGCAGACTTAGAGCATCAGTTATCTATTTTAATACACAGACTTCAGGAGAGGCTAGAAATCTACACGATATTTGATTCAAGGCTATCAAGGTTCTCAGAATGGATGACAACACTCGAATCCCGACTTGAAAGTTCCAGCTCAAGTAGTGAAGTGAGCGCTTTAGACCCTCAAGACCTTATTAGAAGAATAAATTCGGATATTCAAGCAGAGACCGCTATTAAAGAACGCGAATATGAGTGGCTGGCTCAGACAGGCAGCTCTCTAATCGATATATCTAAGAAAGATGAGAAATCCTACAGCAAAAACATCTCTAAACAACTGAAGGATGTACAGGAACGTTGGCAGAAGCTACAAGAGACGGGCCGAAGTAGAATCGCTAAGATAAACGAACTTCTTGAAACCATTTCACAACTAGAGGAGCGTTTGACGGAAATAAGACTAAAACTACACTCTATAGAATCTAAACTCTCAGCGTCAGTCGTCATAGAATATTTGTCGACAAAAGTTGTTGATGAGAAATTCCAAGATCGTGACGAAATACACAAGAACATTGAGGATGAAAGCAGCGAGGTCGGTGAAACTCTGAATCTCTGTGAACTTGTTTTCAATGATCCTGATGTTCTCAAAGGAAACTTCGATTTACGAAATCTGCGTACCGGCGTTGATATAGTCGACAAGAAGTGGAAAAACATTTGCGAGATGTCCGAACAGCGCAAAAATGCTCTGAAGGAAATCCGCAAATCTGCTGAACTAGCAAACTCTCTTCTACCAAAAGTAGAGAAGAAACTGGATTCGATTGAGAAAAGAGTAGAGAAAGTTGAAATACGAAAGCAACGTGGTGAATCTGAGGACGATAGTGTTTCAAAGGCTGTTATAAAAGATTTAGACGCACTAGAGGAAGACGTAAAGCGCTTAGAAGATGCATATAGCCGTATAGCATCTGCTCGTGGTATAGAGATGCGGGGAGAAGGGGCAGATCATACTAGCCGTTTGAGAGTGGCTGTTCGCCGCTGGCAGCAACTAAGGGTGCGTGTAAACGCGGTCGGCACTGACTTACAACGTCAGTTTGTGGCAGCACACGGAAAAGCGGTAGTCGCATTGGCTGAGGCCGATGTACGTCTCACTAGAGCCTTACATCTAGCTCCAACTCCGTTAGACCAGGAGGCTACCCTTAAGGAATTGGATGTAAGTATTTTCTGTTGTATTTATCAAAATTTTCACTTACTTTATTCACTTAATTTATTTTTTAATAAAAGACTTGCATGTTGCTTTAATGTTTATTTTATCCATACAGAGGTGCAATATGCGATATCAAGGGGTAATATATTTACGAAAAACTTTATGGGAGATAAAAGAAAAAACTAAAACGGGGAAACCTGTTCTCTACTGACAGTTCATTTTCCTGGAATCGAAATGCTTGCGATCGTGATCCGCCTGTGTTTGGCAATCACAATATAATCCACTATTGAAAGTGGGATTCCCCCATTATGCGCGTTATCGCGTACTCTTGTTGCGCATGGTTGGTTGAAGGTGCTTTGCAGTAGCCCCCTTGCAACTGGTACGATTTACGTACGAACTTATGTAATTTATGTATGAACTTAATAAGATTATATATTTATTTATTGTTTATGTCATATCACACAGACATGCATATAACAGAGTAGAATAGCCTGAACAGTAAAGGATTCCCTGCAGCATCCAGTGGAATTAGATTATCGTTGATAAGACCAACATTTAAAATTCCAAACAGGTATTTAATTCCAATTCTATTTGATGCAGGGCGTTGAGCAAGAAGTCCGCGAATGCGAGGCCTTGGTGAAAGAGGCTGATAGACTGGAGGCTGCATTAGGAGGAGAGGGGGGAACGGACGCACTTGCCAGCGAGTATCGTACGTTGCTCGCTGACGTCACCACGCGGCTACAACTTGCTCGTCAATCAATAATCGCCGACGTCGACTCTGCCGTCCAGGTTACTGATTATCAATTTTTTATTTTATATATTATAACTTGACTCAAACTGTAGGAAATTCTTTGTATCGTGGAAGTGGTTAACAAAAACAAATTACACGTAGACAAAAATACTGAAACACTAATTTTTTTATAGGCCTTACAAATACTTTTCCCACGAGAGCTTCGATCAACAATACCAACTAGATAACGGGTCACGTACAAAATCATAGCTAAATACTGTCCGCATGAATATAAACTATGAAAAGACATAAATTAAATAACATTTAGTGTGAAGTCAACCTTAAGTCATAACAAATAAAGTTCTTTTTCCCGTTATTGCCTTGCGTGCTACACTCTCACGTGTAAGAGCTCACGTCTCATGTGCGCTCTTATTTGCTGAGATAGATTTCTTGCGCCGACCCGACATCTAGTTGGTATTGTTGATCGAAGCATGAGAGTATCGAAACGCAACTTCCAACGCTAACGGGGCTTCAATGAATAATCTTTCGCTCACCAAATGTCGCCAGCTGGGACTGCAGTGAACTCATTTTTCAGACAGATGTCACACAGCGTCACATCAATGGGAAGTTGCGTTTTAAATAAAATAATTTCGATTTCTAGTTTACGTATGTACACTCTGCCTCGTTGGTCTAATGGTTGTAGTAGTGCGACTGCTGATCATGGGGTCCTGGGTTCGAATCCCAGGTCGGGCTACAAAAATCAATTATTGAGTTTTTCTGTCAAGAATTTTTTTTAAATTTATTCTTATAAAAAGTGTACATTATTTATATTTTAAATTTTGCCAAACTGTAAGCCAGTTTGTCGGCAACGCAATAGTTTATCGTTTCACACTCTTTAATAACAATATCTGATACTTATAACTACTTAAATTCACACAAAATAATTAAAGAAACATTCACCACTAATTCTCAGTAGTTGCCCGGAGTCAGGAAGTTGGCGTTGTCTCACCCCCGTGCATTGGAAAGCACGTAAAGCTGTTGCTCCTGCGCCTGATCTCTCTCCGGTCGTGTTGGTTTACCGTCCCATCGAATTTAATTTTGAGAGTGAGGGAATAGAGAGTGCACTTGTGCTGGCGCACTTGGGCATTATAATCCTGTCCTGCGCCGTTGGCTAGCTTGCATTGAGTCAGGCCGCCGTGGCCGAAATTCGGTCTGGAGGACATTATGTACATACATGGAGGACATTTTGATACATGATGGCGTATTGAGTTTTTCCCATTTTGAACTCTTTTTTTTTAATTCCTCTCGTCTTAGAAACATCCTATATATAATACTACTTGGTCAAGCAGATTTTGTTCTGTCCTTTCCAATGACCCTTTGTTCTTTAAAAAATGTTTTAATTCGCAATAAAAAATATTAAGGGTCACTGATCGGGTTAAAAACTATCCTATCTCTCAAGTTACTCGTGGTAGAGCCATGCTGCAGTTATATTAGTAGTATAGCTGTAGCACGAATGGGTCGGCTCGACCGAGGACCACGCTCTCACAGAATACCAGCGTGAAATATTAGTTTAATGTTGCTGTATTTCGTATGGTGAGTGTAGAGAACCGGAGACCCTTTTTACTGAAAACGAGACATTCCAACTTAGTCCTCACGGGTGACAACGCATCTGCATTTTGATTTGTAATCAACGATATATGTAGATGTCTATGGGCCACAGCATCCTCTTACCATCAGGTGGACTGTGTGCTCGTTTGTCGCCCTATCCTATAAAAAGAAGTTAGATTAAACTGCACACAGTGTGCAAAATTTCATTGAAATCAATTCAGTAGTTTAGGAGTTCATCATGCACAAACAATATGACACATTATTTTTTATATATAAGTATATCAATAAAAAACATTAATCTTTACACTTTTTTTATAATTTAATTTCCAATGTGGCGCCGCCCTGGTAACAGATGTTGAAGCTGTCAATTACTGCATGCTTCACCTCACGTCCCTTTATATCGCCGTCTTCCTTATGATATTGTATGAGATTTTATCGTAACGTAAAAGAAGTCACTTGTCCAAAGCTTCCTGCTAATCAACCTGTTCAGGAATCCTAGGGCTTGTCCGTTTCAGTAATTAAGAATGTCGCACAACTTTTTTTTTAATAAAAATATTAGTAATCCTATTAATTAACATTACTAATATTCCTTTAACCACTCCTGGTAAGCTTAAAACGCTTGTGTTAGGAGTGGTTCACGCCAGTAGTCGAATGGCGGATTCGAACCCACGACCTTTTGAGTTCGCGGTCCGAGCCCTGCTATTACGCTACTGTCGCTTTTTAACAACTTTTAATTCCAATATTTCATCTTAATAACGTATTTTTATCCTCTATCACAGGTTGATACACTTAAATGGGAAATGGACGCGGCCCTTCAAGTGGACACGTTGACTTCCAAAGAGACATATCGCGTTGAACTAGCTGCCGCTGTAAAAGAAACATCAGAATCACTAGAAGCACTCCGAACGGCTTTGATGCACGAACTCAAAGAAAATGCCAGTGGTGATGAACTGGCTACTGCCGCTAAAGAAATAGCTAAAGCCGGCGCTAAACCCGGACAAACTCTGGAGTTGGCCAAACATTTGTCCGAATTACTCCTGACGGAATGTGACGCGACAGAGGAAGAGGCAATGCTTAAAGAAGTTGAGTCACTTTCGATGAGATATGAAGAACTCCTGACCCAAGCGAAAAAACGGGAATTGCAGATTAACAACTTGAGGTGAGTGAAACTATTTTTGATACTACACGAATGTTTGTTACCGTATACTGCATCGTATTGTTACACGCAGATGACACAAAAGAAAGAGATGCAATTTCGTAGTTTAAAATACACCAAAGCGCACATTTGTTTATATCTGTTATTACACGCACACTTTTTTAATTGTTAATGCTTTCGCTTGATCAACAAAGAAATTAAACCAATCAACACAGATTTTAAACAATTATTCAGATTTTTGCGAGTACATTTCGCTAGCTTTAGCAGATTATATTTTGCAACGCATTGTAAAATTAAACTTATATGTAATAATTATATAATATATAATAGCATTTGTACGTAAGTGATTTTAAACAAGCTTAACTAGTGAAATTCGATGTTTAAAACGCTGTAAATATTTTCATGTATATACATTACATTACAAAAAGTAAATTTCATTTAGCAAGTAGATATAAATACTTGATTAGTAGCTTTTTGGACTCGTCTCATTATATTGCATGGTTTATTGACTGTCCCGTGTAAAAAGTACCTTAGATCCGGCGCTAGAGTATTTACAATGGGACTTCTTTCGTGAAACAGATTTTAGTTTAAACATTAGACTAAATATAATACTTTTTGTAATAAGGCCGTATATAACCGGGGCTACAAAATACATATCGTGATGATACCACACATAACAGCATCTCTTCCTTTTTGTGATCTGTCGTTATGTTCGTAGCACTAGCACTTTGGATTTTGGTGGCGGGGCTTTATTGTACAGGTTCGAAATTAGATATTTTTTTAAATTGGGAATTGATATATGTAAATGTATAAGAAAAAATTATAATATTTTGTAAATGGATATACACCTAAAAATTGGAAATTGTACATAAAAGTATAATTAAATTACATATTTTTGTATTTAATAACAGGTTTGCAACTTCTGTAAAAATCTTCTTGAATGTACTCTACTAATAAAAAATTAAGCAGTAATAATTTATTTTATTATCTTGTAGAGCGTTAGCAGTGTCAAAATTATTTTTCTTAAGTTGTTTGGGAAAATTCATTTTGCAAGTCGTTGTTTAGTTACACATTAATATTACTCATTTTTAGATAGATGAAATACTTAAACATATCAAAATGGAGTGTTTAACAAGCTTTTTAACCTGGCATGCTCTAAAAATTAAACACATGCGTTTTCTGGTCCCATAGGTTGCCCCACTCTGCGTCATACGCTCTCACGTGCGAACAGTGAGTACAGCTTTCTAATATTTTATTAATCGCCATATATTTTTTACACTAGTTCGATGTGTTTTTTGTGCACAGTGTATAAAAAACTATCTGTCAAAATCATGTATCCTTCTGTTAATTTTGTTCAAGACAATACATAACCAAATACATGTTTTATTTTTGTCTATTTTGTATTTTTAGGTTACAATTTTGACAGATAATTTAAAATATTTAAATGTTGTATAAGTAGTGAAGCAGTGCATGGTATTTTGTGATGTTAATTTGTAGTGTTTTTATTAGTTACCTATTTTTGAGCTTGCACCTAATTATAATAAATTTAGTACATACGCTTAAATATCATAATTGTGACCTTTATATTATCCTGGCGAATTTAACGCAAGTAAAGAAATTTGTTACTAATTTTTAAATAATTTTTAGAATACTGATTCCAAGAAATGACAAAGTTTGACAAAAATCTTGGATCATCAAATCTCATTTAAGGTTAAGAGTTAGATTAAAGTCTGTGAAACATTTTATATATTTACTAATTTCAGTGCAGTTTGGGTTGGATATTTACAGTAGATTTTCAACAGAAATGTGACACAGAGTGAAAATCTTTTTTAAACTAATATCTTTGTCATTTCTCATTAAATAGAACATCTGCGTATTTAATTCATAACAATCTCCAAATGCTCGACCATACTAATATGGCTTACCACCCGCAGTGAATCCGGTCGGTTAACGTGTCCTTTATGCTCGGACCGTAACTGGAAGCAGCTGGACAATGATTTATGGCGCCTGGAGCAATGGTTGCAATTCGCTGAAGCTGCTGACGAAGCCAGAACTGGTCCTCCAGAACAGTACGACGCTTTAGAAGATGCCATACAGGTGAGGTCTATAGAGGAATTATTTTGTCGACGTCTGTGATTTAGGTTTATTAATGCATTAAAAACTTCAAAGTCTATGATTTGTTTTTTTTATCATGATTGTGTTCGTTTGGTCCTTTTTTTTAAAATAGATTGTAGGTGACCAGCGAGCTCATATCCCACTCGATGGTAAGTGGATATTGTAGTTCATAGACATATCTTACTTCGATTTAGAAATAAAATGCAGATGTGTTGTTAAACCTTGAGGAATATGGAATGTATTGTATTCAGTAAAAAAAAGTTTTCCAATATTTTTATATTTATCATACAAACACAGTAGCTTTAAGTTGCTATTTATGCAGGTATTCTGTGAGAGCATTAATATAGCTGCAATATAGCTGTACTACGTAAAAAGTCTTATTGTGACAAAGAAAAGGTGTGATTGGTGTGTGCGTGTGTGTAGGACCACCGCGAGTTCCTGCTGGACCTGGACTCGCACAAGGCGCTGGTGGTGTCGCTGAACGTGGTGGGCGCGCATGTGGCGCGGCACGCGCGCTCTGCGGCGGCCGGGGAGCGCGCGAGTGCGCGCCTCGCCGCCGCCAACGCGCGCTGGGATGCTGCGTGCGCACGCGCCGCCGACTGGCAGAAGAAGCTGCAGCACGCGCTCATGCACAACCAGCAGTTCCACGACATCGGTATGTTTTCTGATCACTATGATTATACTTCATTCTACACACTCACTTTTTCTTTTGACTTTTATCATTGTTTTTTATTCAGTGTAATGTCTTTATTTTTGTGTTTACAATGTATTTTTCGTGTAATTATCACATACTTAAATTATTACAACGTAATAAAATTACATATTATTATCATTAACAAAACATATTATTAAAGATATTATGTCTTTGCAGCTAAATATTGAAATATAGAAATTTGAAATTGAAATGTAGAAATGAAAGAACATAATGTAAAATATTAGTTTTTCTCCTTTTTTATAGGTAATAATTTATTCACTCCTTTTCTTCTCATAGACAATTGAGTCCACTTGGAGAGAAAAGGTGCTCTGAATTAATACTACTTATTTCGCAACCGAATACTTTTACTTAATATCCAGTTATTTGCCTAGGAAATATGCAGAATATTTGATATTCGGCGTGTGGTCACTATTCGTTGCAAGTCTACTACGAAAATATATATGTAAATAAAATTGAAGTGTATGTCTATAGTATTTGAAATAAACCCTTTCTATTAATTTCAAAAGATTATTTGTGTGCGATTGAGACATATACAACAATTTATTAAAAAAATTGCCTGGTTGTCCAAGGTTATCTTTGAAATGGCCGAAGTAATTGTAATGGAATTGTGCAAAGATATTGAAAGTAATTTTAGGAAATAATTTAGTTATATTTTATGTTAAAAACTGGTTTTACTTTTTTAAAAGAAAATAAAATTTATAAAATATAATGTTCGTTCATAGATAAAATTTAGACGAAGCTGAGGCACGTCATTTGCTTAGAATTCATATTTTATGCTTTTATGTACCTCAAAGTAACTATTCTCGGGACCCCTTTGATTTGAGGGATGAGAGGAGTCGCACGTCCAACTGGCGTTGCTAGATTGTGTTGTGTTGGTGCAGTGGTGGAGCTGGTGGGCCAACTGGCTGCCGCCGAGCGCACGGTGCGCGCGCGCGAGCCGCTGCGGCTGCGGCGCGCGGCGGACGAGCTGCGGCGCGACTTCCGGCGCTTCAGCGAGCTGCGCGACGAACTGGCGCGTGCCGAGCCGCGCGTGCAGGCGCTGCGTGACGCGGCCGCGCTGCTGCAGGCCCGGGACTCGCAGGACGTGTGCCGCAGGTGGGCCAGCACTTGTGTAGCGTTAGCGGTGGAGCTGCGGCGCGACTTCCGGCGCTTCAGCGAGCTGCGCGACGAGCTGGCGCGCGCCGAGCCGCGCGTGCAGGCGCTGCGTGACGCGGCCGCGCTGCTGCAGGCCCGGGACTCGCAGGACGTGTGCCGCAGGTGGGCCAGCACTTGTGTAGCGTTAGCGGTGGAGCTGCGGCGCGACTTCCGGCGCTTCAGCGAGCTGCGCGACGAGCTGGCGCACGCCGAGCCGCGCGTGCAGGCGATGCGTGACGCGGCCGCGCTGCTGCAGGCCCGGGACTCGCAGGACGTGTGCCGCAGGTGGGCCAGCACTTGTGTAGCGTTAGCGGTGGAGCTGCGGCGCGACTTCCGGCGCTTCAGCGAGCTGCGCGACGAGCTGGCGCGCGCCGAGCCGCGCGTGCAGGCGCTGCGTGACGCGGCCGCGCTGCTGCAGGCCCGGGACTCGCAGGACGTGTGCCGCAGGTGGGCCAGCACTTGTGTAGCGTTAGCGGTGGAGCTGCGCGGCGCGACTTTTGGCGCTTCAGCGAGCTGCGCGACGAGCGCCATCTTCTAGTTGGCTCATAACAAAATCTATCATGCTCATAACAAATGTTTGTATATATGAAATATTCCATTCTCATGCAAGCAAAATGAGATTTTAAAATACTTCATATTAATCAATCGAAAGAAATCACGGAGAAAAATATCTTTGACTATTATGATTTCGATTTTTTTAAACGATAATCATATAAACTCGTATAATATTTTTCAATAATATGAAAGAAAAACGTTAAACGATATTTTTACTTCTGTCTTCTTCCTTTTAGATAGACTTTATTTCCCAATAATAAATAAAAATGTTTACATAAACTAACTTTCTGTCCACCGTGTGAATCAAATTTCAACGTCTGAAATACTCGCCTAATAAAAGTTATACTCGCTTAATTATTGTGCAATCCATTAGCTATGTCTATTCGTCGAGCCTTTTTGATAACAGCAAGGAATGTGTAACTGATTTTCACACTTAAAGCTGAAATTATATTTACGATTATAAAAGGCCCGGCCGGCGCACGGTGCACGTACCCCGAGTGGAGCCCGGCCCGGTCGCGCCACCTTGTAACGTGAATCATCTTTAAAGAGTGCACACACTCGTACACATATTCCTGTCTCGGGCACATGAATGACAGCTGGCCTCCGTGGCTAAAATTCGGTCGAAATATTATAATAAAACAAATGTTGCGTATCCTCATAATTTGCTGCTAAAAGGACCTTAAGAGGATGGGAATGAAGACACATTCGTGCACTTATAACCTGTACCGCGCAGATAAAGGCTAGTGTCCGTTGAGTAGAGGCATATCATCTCCCTTGAGGTTTAAAATTGTGATCGAAATTCGGTGTGAGGAGCCTTATTATAAAGCAAATGGTATTATCAGGCTGGGCGAGCTGCGGCTGCGCCTGCAGTCGCTGCGCAAGCTGGCGGGCGTGTACGCGCTCAAGCTGGGCGCCGCACTCGCGCACCACCCCTCCGCTGGCGTCGCCGCCGTGGCCGCCGCTGCCGCCGCCCCACAGGTTCGTACCCCACATAACCGAAACCCCTCCCCTACACACACACACACATACACACACACACACACACATACACACACACACACACACGCACGCACACACACACACAAACACACACACATCACTGTACAACAATTAGAACACCGTATCATCACACTAACTCGGTAGCGATTTTGTTGCTGTTATTGAATACATACAATGGCGAAATAAACCTTGTTTTCTATCAGTAAAATAATTTTAGTAAGATTATCATATAATGCCCCGAATAAAAATTACATTCTTTCTTTAGGGAAACACTTCCAAAAGTGCGTACAGGAATTTTTACCAAACGTGAACACTACTCACAGCTCTACTAGTAATGTGTACTACGTACTGGAACAGGCACCATAGACACATAGTATTTTATGGCACACGCTAAGTTAATTTGAGGGCTCTAACACGTGTAATAAATGATTAATTCTAGTCTACTTTTCTAGTACTTAGTACATATTAATTCAGAGTAACGCCTATATAATTTCTAAAAAGAGTTACTTTAATACGGGTTGATGAACTTAACGCAAAACAATATGCAGGTTCCCTCACGATACTACCCTCATTGTCAACCTCGTGATTACACCCACACTGACTTGAAATTGACCCACTTGAAATTGCGATTTACAATTTCATCGCTGCCGACAAATATCTAACTGAGAATGCCTAACTATAATAATGAAATTGACGATGTGCTGTTAGTACTTGACCTGCCATTTCTATCACATCACAGTATGATATTAATTTTTGTTATTTTGACATTACCAATTTTTTAATTGAGGGATGTAAGATAGGAGAGAATTTGAGGCGCAATGAAAATGTGTGCTTACTATTCATATTTTAAATTTGTAAATATGCTTAAGCCCAGGATAGTGTAAACATCCCAAATAGACAACTGCTTCCAGTTCATTTCTCTTTCCCACGATCATCATTTTCTTTCTACAGACAATCAGTCTATTTTCTTGCAACTCCCTTGTTATAAAATCTTGGTTACTCTGAGAAGTAAGAAGTTTCACAATAGCCTAGTATTAATGTTGTATAGTTTTAATTTATAATACAAAAGTTATTACTTTGATTTAAAACATTTCTCACACTCTTCTCGCCTTATCATTTGCATTTATATTACGAACAAGTGCCGTGGGACACATGTAATGCGTAATCGACGTGCACGTATTTGACATGTTGCAAGCATAAAACGCGTTAAAACTCAACCCATCTATGTCCATACACAGACAAATATAACTATTCATACAAGATTTGCTCTTGGTAAACCAAAAACGCAAAAAAAGTCCCTAAGTTGGTCTAGATTTACTCACCGCTTCCCCCACCGCAGAGCACTTAATATTGGCAGATAAATTGGCAAGCTTCTTTAATTACATTTAGGCATAATTAAATTCACAACATAAGTAATTATTCTTAATAACGTATTCAATGCACCATATTGAATACAAATCATATTAAGTCGTAAGAACTTTGTTTTTATAGAATTGTATTAATTTAAATCTCCTTTTAGTAAAATAGTTAAGTAGCAGCTCCCAACTATAATATAATATATTGTAAACACAATTTTGGCCTGATATACAACTAATATAAGCATTTAATATTAGAAAACTAAATTAAATGCCTATATTAGTTGTAAGGAATTAAAATTATAAGGATTCAAATACACACAAAAATCTACAAATGCCAAAAGGAATGTAGGATATTTGATAGCGATTGTCTTGAAACAAATTTGATTTTACGAGTATGTGGAAGAAAACACTACAGATGAATAATAAAGTACATTGTATGCTTGAAATTATAGAACGTAGTCTTTAATTATAATATATTTAAGTGATGTAGTTGTACACCGCTACCTAATCTAGTATTAGAAACGACGTCAACACCAAAAATAAGAATGCAAACTAGGCGAAACAAAATTGTGTTTTCAAAGCTAGATCCTCGTTATGTCACTGTAGCCGCTTCGCACCGTATTTTCACGTATTTTTATCCTCCTTTAGCTTTTGGAGGAGGAAGAAGAACAGATGTCATCCCTGAACCTGCCGCCTCTCGACGAATCAGAGTGAGTATAGTTTTGTTGAAATTGTGTTCTTGCATAGTTGTCTAACACTAAATTGTATTTGACTTCAATACACTAACACCTATACTTGGTTTAAAGATTCTTTTCTCACTTCGCCTTTTACTTTCTATTTTCTATTTCTTTTTTCTTTTTTATTCTATCAGATCAAATCTACATTCTTTTTATTACTTTTGCTTACATTTGTTTACTTATAACATAGTTGGATGTTAATAAAATTCTATGTTTAAAGGCAATTAAATTAAAAACATCTTGAACTTGGTAAGAAATTAGAAAACTAATAAGAAAAAAAAAGACAGCACTTTGCTACTATTCCACCTGATAGTTAGTGGTAGGCTTAGTGGCACAAAAGCTTATTTTATTTACTCTTACCTAATTTAATTTGATAATGTATTTAGAAATTCTCCATTAATATTAAAGATCTGTATATGCTAAAGAAATCCCTTTCTATATGAATCTGTTGTATCTTATTTCTTTTTCTTTTTTCCTTTCCTTATGTATTTTACATGAAATAAAATTTACATTATCATCATGTTTTACTTTCGCCTTTAGGAAATGCCAGAAAATTAATGTTCCTGTCATTTCCTATGGTAACGTTTTAGTAACGAGTACTTTACACATATTCGGGTGATTTGGCACAGCTGAGCGGTGAAATCAAATGTGTGTTATATCCAGGCGATAGAAATCGACTGTCGGCTGACATAGAGTGTTTAATGTTGTATATAGTTGACCACCAAAAGTTGGCACCAAAGCTCTACAACAAATTGTCTGAGGACACTATTAAAGTTGTAACTGACAATATTTATTCTTCTATTTAAGTGACATGAATTATTCTTTATATTTACTTTCATACTGAAATTTTGTACAATAATTGAATACAGATCGTTTGTTTTTAAATTTGGTTGTGGATAAAATAAAACAATGTAACCACTGCCATATCACTGATTTACTTCCATATAAAACACTATAAAGTGTTTGGATTACAATAAAGTTTTCTTGAGTTAATGTACAACATACATATAAACATTGAAACCAAAGTCGAATATCCAATATCTTAACGTGACAATCCTACAAAGACACGTAAAAGTTAAAACGCGAAGGTTTATGCCTTTCAGACGGGATTATTAAAAGCTGAACATCTTTAGAACTATTAGTTGATTTTCTTATGCAATAAACATTGTCGAATCGAATGTGTGTATAGCTTGGTTCTCTCATATATAATATTCTCTTACAATCACCAAACGGTGTGTTGGTGTTTGCTTATGTGCCAAAACTTTGACAGCGTGGCATTGAGTGAGGAGCACGAGGAGCAGTCGCTGGGGCGCGTGCAGCGCGGGCTGCGCTTCGTGTGCCGCGTGGCGCGCGCGTCGCTGCCGTTCCAGGCGCTGCTGCTGCTGCTGCTGGGCGCCGCTGCGCTTGTGCCGCACGCGCACTCCGACTGCCGCCCGCCCGGCCTCGGCCTCGAGCCTGTGCTGCGCTACCCCGACGGGCCGCCCCCCTTATAGACAACAACACAACTTGCCCTTCGGACTCAAAAACGCACCTGGTGTAATCATACTAAAATACAAACGACATTTGAACTAAGTATCAATATTGATCAAATGCAGATCAACAATCTTGAATAACTTTTTTTAGACACAAACCAGGATTTTGTATTTATTATAATGATTCAAATCATTCCTTGACAAGATAGAGTTGCTGATGTTACGAAATCCACCCCTCCTGGATTTGACAACTATAAATGTACGTTTTCCTTAAATTTGGCCCATGTAACCTATCCCTCTTAACTTATTATTCGACGCCAACTTTATTGAAAGCGTACGTTCATAGTCGTTAAGGATTTAATTAGTGTCACTAGCGACTAAATTGAAAATATAGGCGAAAAAGCTCGCTGAAAGGCGTTCTCTACACTGCTTTTCTATAACGCGGTGTCTGAGGACGTGAACTGACATTCCATAAAGATGGTGCTAGGCCCAACGCGACCGCCCGACGCCTGTAAATATCATGGATTTTGTATATTTGTAACGATATTTCGTAGGAAAATATGAAAAGACAAGCTTGTGCCGCGATGGGTGTATCGCCGAACGATACGCGCCAAAACCAATCGAAGATATTTATAAATTAAGAGTATATTTATTATTTATAATATAAACGTATATTTAAAGATGGCGCCGCACAAATCATAACGACGGCTTTTCTATTCGCATCCATGCATTGTTACTTAACTATTAGTTTTTAAGGACTTGTTTACAATAAAGTCAAAAATAAAGCCTTGAATTGATTAAAACGTTGTTTTATTATAAGTCCTTTTTACATAAATATTGGTGCATGTAACGTAATATTTACAACATAAGCGCACAATATACATTGCATTGGTGTTGATTACCTGACAAAAAATTAAAATTAATATGAGCAAATAGAATCATAAAATCAATTGCCAAAAGGGGTATTTTTGCATTTTTATGGCAACCTAGCTATAGTCCAGAAAATAGTGGCTTCTGTACATAACGAATACCAGCAACCTCCATCCAAAGGAGGCTACAGATGTATTGTCACACCAAAGAACTAAGAATGCCTCGTCTTCTACATATATATACTGGCTGTATTAACCTTCGAGATGGAACACGGCAGTGAGTGTACCGCTGCTCGGTTACAGCAACTGGTAAGAAGGTGGTAGCAGCCAAGACAGCATGCTACACAGAAATGGACCTCACCACCTTGTAAATGATACAACTAAGCTTAGATTACATTCCTCATTCTGGGAATCATCATCATCATGTGTCAGATCTTTTTACAAAGATAACTCCGTACTTTTTTTATAGGAGAGGGGGCAAACGAACATACGGATCACCTGATGGTAAGTGATTACCGCCGCTCTTGAATAACTGCAACACCAGGGGAATTGCAGGTGCGTTGGCGACCTTTTAGAAATGAGTAAGCTCTTTTCTTGAAGATTCCTAAGTCGTATCGGTCTGGAATAATCGACGGTGGTAAACAATTCCACAGAGAGGTCGTTTACGACACTTCTAGTTATTCCAATATTGTAATAGGCAACATACAATATTGGAATAGCTAGAAGTCCTTAGTTCGATCCCCACTTAAAACCATAACTGTGTCTCCGATCTTTATTTAGAAAATACTGAGCTTAAAATTATATCTGACTCCATCTTACGAAAAAAGGGAAAGAAAATTGACTTAACAGACTCGAACGGATGAATAACAAAAAATTTCAAACAACACTAAATACACGGATGGAAGAACTCTGTGCCATCCATATCGCATATTGTGTGTGCCTGATATTTAAAAAGACGCGGTCGTACGCTTTGATGTTAATGCGTGCATAAAGCATATGTGTACAAAGAGTCCAGCATACTTAGAGTATTCACTTACAATACGCACGACGTGGAGTCCCTTTTTTCTATTCCGTGACTAAATATATACAAGTATTAAATAAGGCTTTCTTACAGCTAGGATAGATATGTATAACTTCGTGGTACCCGCCGATGCGCCACGTCCGCACGAGCGCTCGTAGATTGGTTTGGCCTTGAAACCTAATAAAAGTAAATTTATTATCGTAAGTAAGTACAATTTATGTAACGTTATACACGTTAAGTAACCCCGGATAGATTCGTATTAAGCCATTCACAGTCGTGAAGCATCTCCCAGGACCAAAGACTTCTATTTATACTGGGAATTCCGAACAAAACCTGTGTCATAGCTGCATACCACGCGGGCGGGTAGCTGGCACAATGAATATGTCACGCAGTTACATACAATCACGTTGATAAAGTGCGTACATAACAAGAGACAGCGTTTTCTTAGTAACATTAAACAAAATCAGTGTTAGATTGTCTACAGAAACGTTCGCGGTTTACAAAGCAAAGAACTAGTCTTCTCGGCCGCTAGCAGTCGACTAAAGGAGTTACGGAGAATTGACCGTAAATTACCTCGCGCAGTATTAAGGTCGTGTACTAGTATATGTATAAATAGAAACCTGCCCACCACGAGCATATAATCTTTGTTGGAATATGTAGCATTGATATTTTCGATAGCATTAAAAATGAGAACTCTTAAGATGGCATTTCCTAGGTTATATGAGTATATAGTTGGTAGTTACCATTCAAGCGCCATTTATTGCCGGCATAAGTAAATTCGTCACCCCAGTTCGCGTGTCGTACTGTGTGTCGTTAGAAAATGCCAAAAGAATCTAATGGCTGCCGAAAAATGGCTTTAATTTACCACTGACGATATATACCCAATCCAGCGAGGAGCAGCGACAGGTACTAAGCGTCTGGTTTTGCAATCGTCAATCCGCCCGTAAAGCGCAGCGATTATGACAAATCCTTTCTGCAACGGTACAAACCCACGTCTAGCTAGACAAAGAAAGTTACCATTCAGGGCTAAACACAAAGTGGTACGTGGACTACAAATAACAATTTAAAACGCAGATTCGATCTGCTCTCACTATCGTGTGGCGGTGTAAAAATATCCACTACCCCATATCGTCCTCTGGGAGTCGCAAGAGGCAACACAGGCACACTGAAATACGTGGTAGAGCCACGCTACAGCTATATTATGGTTGCATCACGAATAAGTCGTCTCGACCGGGGAAGGACCATGCTCTTACATAATACCAGCGTAAAATAGCAGCTTAATACTGATGTGTTTCGTATAGTGAATGTAGAGACCCGGAGACCCTTTTTTACTGGAAACCAGGCTTTCCATCTTAGTCCTCAGGGGTGAAAACGCAGTAGATGTCTATGGGCCGAAGCATCCACTGACCATCAGATGGACTGTGCTCGTTTGTCACCCTTATTCATCAGCATCATCTTCCTTATAATACAAGTGACAAAATTTCTGCAAAATGGCAAAATCTTCCCTATAAAGTAATCCATATTAACAGGAAGGGCCTATGCTGAACAGTGAACTTTTATAGGCTGTAATAGATGCGTGGAAAAATGATTAATATTTTATCAGAGCGTCAGCGGAGTGAGAGGTGTTCACGTCCAGTACTGTGATCGTCCATCCTTCCTACAGCGCTGTAGACCTTTACATGCTAAGAAGAAGAGCATAAATGATAAAAGCTGACCAGCTCGGCTAGTTGATGGGACGAGTGTTCCAGCAGGCAGCCTCGCAGTGCCGCGCGCAACAGCTGCGTCAGCGCCACGATCACCAGCTGCACACAACTGTCACATCAATCTTTTTTGTACAAACAAGGGCTACAAACGGACACACTTGGTGATGAGTCTTTTATTTACTGGTGTTCAACTGAGAAGGCACCGCCTTGCGGCCTTGTTGCAAAATTTTGTTTTCGGATGAAATTTTTTTTAACATTGAAGAAAGTTATAATAAACAAAATGATAAGGTGTATGCCCAAAGCAGTGAAGAAGTCAACATGCGTATTCCGAGGGTTCAACGAGCACATTATCCTTCGTCACTCATGGTTTGGCTTGGAGTCTCATATTCAGGCTTAACTGAGGTGTTTTTCTGTGAAAGAGGTGTAAAAACCAGTGCCGAGGTATACCAAAATACCGTCCCAACAAACACAGTAGAACCTCTTTCTCAAACAATATTCAAAAACAGACTTTGGATATTCCAACAGGCCCCTGCACCAGCTCATAGGGCACGAAGCACGCAAAACTGGTTGACCGCATGGAATTGACTTTATCGGACATGAAGACTGGCCCTCTTCTAATCCAGATTTAAGCCCACTGGATTATAAGATTGGCAATATTTGGAGGAGAAAATCTGCGCTAAACCTCAACAGAATTTTGAATCTCTCCGAGCATCTTTCAGAAATATATATGAGTGTGGTGCGTGCTGCAATTGATGATTGGGCGCGATTCAAAATAGGGGAGGGCATTTTGAAGAATGTAAATAAAATTGTATTTTAAATTAAATTACCATTCATTTCATGTATAATTTCTATATAATTATCAAAGAGTTATAATTAATTTTATAAAAAGTTTTTGACAGAACTTATGACCTGACTAAGTATTACAAAATCTTGTAGATGGTCGACTAAAAAATTTGCGCTTGTATCATGAATAGAAATTACAGAATAATTTAATAACTTTATCTTAGTATTCTGATCAGGATCACCAAGATAGAATGAAAATAATTTTAATTTTAATAAAGATATGATAATTAGGATAAAATTTTTTCATTTTATCTTTAGCGTGTTTCTATTGTATTTTAAAAGATATTTTTTCTTTTGTCAAAAATCGAGATTGTTAATTAAATGTGATAAGAAAATAAAGATAATGTGAGGTACCTGGAGCAATAAGACGAGCACGTTGAAGAGCTGCAGCGCGAGCAGCGTGCGAGCCAGCGGCGCCCGCATGGCCTCCACGCATCCGCGCGCGTGCAGCGTCGCGCCGCCCAGTGCTGGGCCCGCTGCCCACGCGCCCCGCCACATCGCCTGCACACACAGCTTCGCTTATATTGACACACATACATACACCATTTCACGTGAGCAGTGAGTACTATACACCAGCATGCTACATCATATAATTAGAGTACTATACACCAGCATGCTACATCACATAATTAGAGTTTTACGTCAAATTTAGAAGATTAAATTCTAAGAAAAGTGGTAAAATTAAAAATTTTGTACAACAAACATCAATAAATAAAATAAGAACATCATTAATATAGTAGAAGTCAATTAAATACGTGTTATTAAGGATAACTCAAAAACTACTGGTAAAATTTAGATCAAATTTATATGGGACCACATGAAAAGCTTTCAAATAAAAAAGAATTATCAAAATCTGTTCATCTAGAAAGAGGTTCTGAGGTAACACAAGAAATACAGTCAAGTTGAGTACCCCGTCCTTTATTTAAAGTCGGTTAAAAGCTCAGTAGCATCATCGCATGTGATTAAAGCAAGATTCATCATCGCAAGCTACTTAAACAGCAGCTACATTGTTGAATATGAGTATTTTTGTTCTATAAATAAAGAATTGGTTAATAACTTAAGGCAGCTATCAGATCCTAACATAAAGCTATGACCACCGTTTCGACAAAACAAATATCAACTCGGAAGCTATACGATACAAACGCAGAGAGAGTAGATACAGAAAAGTGTAAAAAGTAAGTAAAGTAACAGCCAATTATACGTCCCACTGTTGGGTAGAGGCCTCTCACTTCTGAGAGGGTTTTAGGGCAAGGGAGTGTCCGCCGCGCCGCCCCAATGTGTGTTGGCAGACTAACCATGTCTTCGAAATATATATTTTTTTTATTTCTAAGACATGAAGGTTTCCTCACGATGTTTTCCTTCACCGCAGAGCACGTGGTAAATCAGCACTTAAAAATGCAATTAACAATTGCATTGGTGGTTGGCAAAAAATCATTAGTGCCGACGGGGATCGAACCCGGGTTGCTCGCATACTGTGTGTGTACAGAAAAGTTTAACAGGTGTAAAAAACATGTCATAAATGTGATGGAGGCTAAAATAGGGCGGACAATATGACGAGAAGTCGAAATGTTACGTTACCTAGAGGCGATTTTAACCGCTTTGTCCCTTTGTTAATACTTAAATGTTTTTGACCCTTCATGAAACCATCAATGATGACAATGATTTGTCTAGTTCAAAAATCAAATACCTGTTGGAAGGGGTCATGGTAGCAGGCCACAAGGACTTCCGGCATGCAGCAAGAATATGGCGTCACTGGCGGCAACAGTTTGCCATCCGTACCCGCCAACCTGCAGCCAGTCAAGCCAAGCTACTATTAATCTAGCTTATAGTTATTATTTAGTTTTGAATAGTATAAGGTAGATTTTACTCATTATCTTCTTATTTTTATTATCATCAAAAAAAACACATCTGGACACTTGCAATTAATCAAGACAATCCGATCAATCGAACCAAACAAGCGGTGAATTGAAATTTTAAGTGCTTGTTTATTTATACATCATAATAAACCTTAAACATCCTTTTCATTATTTTCAAACTTCTGGTTATGTAAATCTTAATATTTTATTTTACCGCTGAATGCTGTTAGATATCCATGACAAGACATAATTTTATTTACTTATTTTATGCAAAAATACATAGGTAATATTAACAAATTTTATTTTAAAAGATATAAGATGAAATTTAGTATACCTATAGAGGAAAAAATTTATATTTTTTTCTTTCTTTTAAAAAATACATTACCCACACACTTGGATTTTCTCCTGTATTGTGGGGGCAGTTTACAAACATACATTTCACACGGACAAACATCCAAACCCGCAACAATTCCTTGTAGGCCATACAAATACTTGTTCCGTACGGAATTCGAACCCATGGCCCTTAGCGCTATAACTCATTGTTAAGTCACTGCGCTACGGAACCGTCAGTATTTGATTTTTGGGACTAAATAAAGGGTACTGAAGCCAAATTAGTGGTCTTTAGAATCTTCCATGAAATTTCGTTGGTAGATAGTTAGGAACCCGGGACTACTTAAAGGCTAGCTTTTATCCGATTACGGAACTTCAAAAAAGGAGGGCTAGGTATTTTCCTTGCTTTATATTTTATTTTCTATTTTATACGATTGATGTGTTTTATTAAAATAAGTAAAATATTTAGAAATAAAGCCCAAAATTAGTTTTAACCATTGTGTAATAAATTGAACAACAATAAGAATCTAAATTACTCACACCATAAAAACACAGAATAATTGTATGAGAACTTTAATAAAGTACATCAAAGTATATTTTTATATGTGGTAGAGCCATGCTACAGCTATATCAGTATAGGTATAGTTGTGTCACGAATGGGTTGGCTCGATCGGGAAAGAACTAAGCTCTCACAGAATGGCAACGTAAAATAGCAGCTTAACGCTTTTTACTGGAAACGAAGCCTTTAAAAAACCCTTAAAAAGAAATCTTAGTCCTCACGGGTCTTAGTCGAGAATAGAAAAACTCGTTTGTTACCTTTATCTTATAAAAAAGTAACATATGCATATCAATTGGAGTTGTTTATTTATTTATTTATTTAACAATTTATGTACACACGAAGTATTTTACAATGAAAAATAAAAACAAATTTTGTACAAAGGCACTGCTTATTTCATTGTGAAATTTCTTCCAGCAGGCCTGATATTGGACAGATTCAAAGAGAAGCAGATTTAGTGTGCACCCTCATAACAAATTTAATAATATTAATAAACTTAATACAAAATAAAGATAATAAAAACATATACATCCATACATACAAACATGCATATACCTAAATACTATACTATATACATATATAAAATAAAATACAAGTAGATACATATATATATACAAGTCATACATTGGATCATTGGGACGACAAAGAAAGATAGTGCTCTTTAAGTAGCCTTTTAAACACTGAAACTGTTTGAGCCTCACGAATTGCAGCAGGAAGAGAATTCCATAACCTAACTGCATGTACTGTAAAAGAATGAGAATAGTACTTAATTCTGAAGGAATAGAAATTTAGGAGGGTTTTTAAATGTGATCTGCACACTGCACACTGCACAAGTAACACTGTTGTGTTACTTTAGGTATTTTGGGGTAACAAACGTTTTCGGAATTTTTAACAATTATCATTGGTAAATACTCACTTCATAACAATAACAGAGTCCTCATTGAGAAAGTCCAGGTTGATCCAAGGGATCTCGTGCCAATCGCTTGGCTGTTCCACGCCGCAGCAGCTTAGCTCTATCTAAACACCATTGCATTTTTTTCATAAAGCAATAATGAGATTTAATAAAAATAATTATCACTTCGTGATAGCATCCGTAACAATGATATCCGCAGTTGAACCAGAGTAACCGACAGAGTTCAAGAGATCTAGATGAACTACGGTAATGGAGCGGTTACATAGCTCGACTCGAAGAATCAAAAGTATAGGGCGGCCCGCCGAGCCGCAGCGCCAAGTCTGGTAAGACTGTATGTCTATGTCATACATGAAGTCGTTTAATGAAGGTAGCTCAGAACCATGTTTTGTGGATTTCCTGCGAGGATACCCGTATTAAGCAGTGGACTCGTGAATGTCTTTAAAGACGAATTGAGATGACAAGATAATGCCACGTTTCGTCCCGTGGGTATAGAAACGGGTATGCGTAATATTTTTTTAAGGAAAAAAGAAGATAGAAGACATCATGGTCTGCAATAGTTGACGATATAATCATCTCGTTTACCCAGATTGGCGAGAACAGCGTCAAACTACCACATCTGCTAACAAATGTATCGACGTGTTTTTTTTTAAATAAAACCGAAGTGAAAAATGAAGTCCACCTGATAAAATGTGGCTTCTGCACTCCATAGACACCTACAGCCACTTCAAACAAAGAAGCAGATGCGTTGTCATCCGTACGGACTAAGATGGAATGCCTCACAGATTCTTATTTTTTTATACGTTCTAGAGCCACGCTGCAGCTATATTATGGTTGTAGCACGAATAAGTCGGCTCTAAAGGGGTAGGACGACGCTCTCACAGAATACCAGCGCAAAATAGCAGCTTAATGCTGCTTTGTTTCGTATGGTGAATGTAGACAACCGGAGAATATTTTAACTGGAAATGAAGCATTCTATCTTGGACCTCAGGGGTGATGACGCATTTGCATTTTGATTCTTAATCGAAAATAAAATGTGTCATATAGGTTCATTTGTGTGATATCTATAGGCCACATCACCCACTTGCCATCAGGTGGACTGTGTTCTCGTTTTCAGCCTTATTCTACAAAAATATACTGTTTCTCTATAACCTTTAAACCGGAACATAGCAGTGCCCACACATTTGGCGACAGGAGAAGGTAAGAGGGTGACGACTCCTTAATTCAAAAAGGAATGCTAACATCTAGATTAGATTGATGTCAAGATTAGATTAAAGCAAATTTCTCCAAAACAAGAAAGTCCCATGCAGCAGTACAACAGTTGTCTGTCTATATGAACTGATATGAAGAAAAGTAATTAAATTTTACTCATTATTAAATCGCCCGAAACAATACTTTTAAAAGGAAATGTAGGCAATAGTCTCCAAGACTTGCAACTCTATCGCACGATACGCCAATACGGGGCGAGCGGTATGAAACAGATAGAATTTTTGAAAACACCTACTCGCACCGCGTTTCGGCACTTCACAATCCTCTTAATGTAAGTCAGTAGTCTATGGGTTACCTGCATGGTATCAATGAGATACTTCCACGAGGGTTCCGTGAGGTACTGAGCAATCCCGACCCGTAGTGATGACGATAGCTCCTTCATGAGCGCCTGTAATTTAGATATTACATTTTTAGTATAAACTTTCCTATTTACAATGTTCGTGATGCAATACACCATGCTGGCACTGCGTTTGCCCAGCTGCTCGTATCCCTCGATAGTGTAAGTGTGATCTACTTGTACTATCACTTACTAGACTACATGTCTTTTTAAGTGATAGTACAAGAAGTTTTCCATTTGCTTCACTTTATAAATAAACCTTTCATTTAAACTATTACAATAAGTGAGAAAATCTAAATATCTATTATCCAAATACATGTGAAGTTAAACACCATTGTACATTTTTAAACTGTTACATTGGGAAGGCAGTCCGAAGTACTTTTTTTAAATATTTACGGACTGCGGGCATTCCATTTCAGTCCTCAGAGATGACAATAAATCTTTAGCCTTCTTTGTTTAGACTGAAGAAGCGACTTTCCATCAGGTAGATAGGTGATGTCCATCAGGTACCTCAGTCCTGAGTAGTGACAACTCATTTGCGTTTGCAACGCAAGTGAATCATCTACCATTAAGTTAAGTGGACATCTGGCAGTTTGTCACCGTTACAATTAAAAAAACATATGTGCATTTCACTCGCGGTAGTAGTGAAACTTTCATTTTTTAGGATTCGTATTACGTATGCGCACACATACGTAGAAACATACGCACGTGGAACGCTCGGACCAGAGCAAGTATTAGGCAGATATACTCGTAGATACTAAACTCGCTATACGACGCCTTTTCTCTCGGTTCGGCTCGGCAATATGCAGAGTGCAGGCGCACACAAACACACATGCACAACCCTTAGTAGACAAGAGTGGGAAGGCTACAAATCACCGCATAATGAGGAGACCGGGATAATAAAAAATACTGTATACTGTATTCTATCTCATTCTCTCGCTGGCTAAATCCTGTAGATGAAATTTGTGTCTTTTAGTTTCGCGTTTTCGTTTCAAATCACGATTCTAAAGTAGATTTTACTTTGAAAAACCTATAAATAACCTTTATCGTGCCCCGACAAGCAGCGTACACAAGCAAGCCGTTCAAAGCAACGAGCGAGGAGCTGACAAGCCACACTCTGACAGCGACGTCGGCGCGGGGCCAGTGCGGGCTGCGCACCAGCCACGACACCAGCCGCAGCCCGCTCGTGTACTGCAGCTTCATGCAGTACGTTTGCAGCACTATCAGCCCGTAGAATAAGAACACAGTAAACTGAAATTGTGAAAAACCAAAACTTGTTTCTGAAGAATATAGTGGTTGACCGTTGACACGCGTGTTACTGAGGGCTTATATTCTTACGCTCACCAGATGTCGCTAGTTGTGAACTTATTCGTTATGCTGATGGTCACACAGTGTACCACATCACATTATTAAACCGTATACTATGATAAGTTGGTATTATTTTTAATTAACAACATTACCATTTTTTTTTGCCAAAGTCGATAGGGATCATGTGATGTTGTGAGGGGGCGCCATTCGAATGATAGTTACATTGATGCTTACGACTACTTGTCGTATTGCGTCTTGTGGTGGATCTGTCGGTATGCTGCGCCTGATTCGATGTATCTTGTAGTTCTGGTCTTTGAAGGTATGCGGGTGGAAATGTCTGCTGGGATCGTATAGGGGACATTGGGACGGCGTAATCCCGACGATAGTCGTATTAATACTTGTTGGGTTCGCGTCTCTGCTATGTTGTTTGGCGGGTCGCTATTTTCAATGGCGCTACCTGCGTCTTGGTTTCACTCACACCTAAGTAGCTTTGCCCAAGTCGGGTCCCTTCATGAAGGGGCTGCAGACCGTCTAACCTTCATGATGCTTTATATAACAGCAATGAAATATCACTGTTATTTCTCTCCATTGAATGATGGAAGACAACCCAGGACGACAAACAGACAAACGAACATTTTATTTTATTTCATTGTTAGTTGCAATTTTGGGAGCTGATTTACCACGTATTTGACTATAAAGGCAAACATCACGAGTAAACCTGCATATCTGAAGAAATCCATGCCCAAAAGCCCATGTCAATATGGAGCAACGGGGCAGACCAATTACTCAATAACCCTCTGAGAAATGAGGGGATGCCAATACCCAGCAGTGGGACGTATGTAAGCTGTAAATTTTTGTAGTGATATTATCTCTAAGGTGTTTACGAATAGTGAACATTTACAAAAATGTCCGAATAAATACGAACCAGTGAAGACGTATCAAACAGGACTTATCGTTTTGTAGTTGTGTAAAACAAAATTTCGTTAGTTTATTGTATTCGTCGGAGGGGGAGGGGGGGGGGGGTAAATGTGCTTGAGGCACATTTCTTTAACAAAAAAAAATAAAATGATGCTGTAATTGCACCTGATTTACCTTTTGGCAATACTTCCATCCATCAAGTCTATAAAAGTCCACCGCTGTACATGCCAGGCCTTGCCTAAGAGGGATTTTGCCATAGTTGCCACGCTTAGCGATCAAGTTGGCAATTGCAGTTTATTATTATTTTCAGTTGCTGTCAGGAAGACGCTGCCGCCCATCTGGTTCAGTTTTCCTTTGTAAGTTCTTACGACACCCGCGCCACGTGTCGATAGGGGTAGAGTGGATATTTTTACACTGCCACCACACGGCAATACTTACTTATTATTTTTTATGATTGGCCGCTTAAGCTCAAACACGGGTAACATAAAGCACATACCCGGTGCACCTGCTTCAGTAATGACATGACCCGGAACGAGGCGTTGTAGCAGAACAGCACCAAGAGGAGGGAGATGACGAGCTGCACGATCAGCAGCGCCCGCAGGACAGTCGCCAGCCGCTTGCGTCCCTCCCGACTGAGTGTGAACGAGCCCCAAGCCATGTGACTGCGTCTCGGGCCATGCTAGCTGCCTGTGCTGAATGATTGCTGCAACAACGTTGTTCTGTTGGCTAACTTGAATGTGCATACTTCTTTACTCTGTTTTTTACACGTTACTAATTTTTTTACTAGAATAAGTGTAGCAAACGAGCGTGCAGCCCACCTAATGGCAAGTGGATGCTGTGGCCCATAGACATCCACATTTATCTTCAATTAAGAGTCAAAATGCATGAGAGTCAATGCAATGCGTTGGCACCCCTGAGGACTAAGATGGAATACCTCAATTCCAGTAAAAAGAGTCTCCGATTCTCAACACTCCCCGGGGTTTTTATAACGTCACCCTATCTTACACCTCTCTGCAGCTGGATAGGTTTCGTATAGTTCGTCGAACTCTGGTTCTGTACACGTATAGCCATCGTAGCCCTACTGTACGAACACTTCAGCACTTCGATATACCGACAGTCCACTTGGCACCGCTAAAGAGACTGTAGCACCGCCCAAATTTCTACGGAATCAAAAGCTTTCTCATAGTCCACATACGCCAGGCAAAGTGGCAGATTGTACTCTTCGGACTTCTGTACCATTTGCCGAAAGGTATGTATGTGGTCTATAGCGCTAAAGCCTTTTCGCAAACCGGCTTGTTCAGGAGGCTGGAAGTCGTCGAGTCTGCGTGCGAGACGATTCGTAATGACTCTCGAGAACAGCACGTAGACGCGGCTCAGAAGAGATATCGGTCTGTAGTTATTCAAGAGAGCGTTGTCTCCTCTCTTGAAGAACAAGACTACCGCACTTCTGCTCCACGCCTCGGGAGTAGTGCCACCATGGAGGACGGAATTAAAGAGCTTTTGAAGGACTTTAAGCACCGGTGTTCCACCCGATTTCAGAACCTCCGCTGTAATTCCCCTCGCCTAGGACCCCGCCGTTTTTAAGGTGCTGGAGAGCTATCCTAATCTCGCTCAGACTGACGTTCGGGATATCATCGGAATAGTGTCGGATAAGACTTGCTCTTGGATCGTTACTCACACTTGCGTGTGGCTCCAACGATGATGTGTACAGCTGCCCATAGAACCTCTCAATCTCACTGAAAATCTCAGGTGTCCTGGAAACGATGCTGCCACACTCGTTCTTCAACTTCGACAGTTGACTCTTTCTGACAGACAGATCACTGGCAAGGACTTTTGAGCCTTGGTTCCGCTCGATCGTATGTATTGAAGTTGCGTAAGGCCCGCCGCATGTATTTGGATATCTGTCTGTTCAGTTGCCTGATTGCTACCAAATCTGCTGAAGACTGCAGCTTCATTTCTCGTCTACAGCCATGAGATTCAGAATGTGATCGTTGAGTTTTTGTGTTCTTCTGCGGCGGGTCTTGCAGAACTTAGCTTAAACCGCATGGACAGTTTCCACGAGCTTGTCATTCATATTGTCCACTGTTGCGTAAGGCGCCGTCACGGGCAAGTAAATGATATGTGTGAGTGGCGTAGGAAAGTGTGTAATGTAACCTGACGTCACCGATGTAATCGTTTAGCAGGACCACATGCGTTGCCACACTCCACAAGTCGCAATCACTTTAGAGGGCGCCTGCCGTTATCGAAACTCAAGTCTAACGTCACTTAGCCCAAACTATAATCGAGTGCGATCTCCACCAGGATCACAAAGTTTAGCATTCAACCGATAAAGCAAGATTCCTTAGCACGATATTAAAACGCAACACAAGCTACGTGTCGATGCAAATTTATGGCAATCGAAGTTAAATAGTCACTCAAAACTCAAAAAATAGCCTCGTTGTCACGTATATTAACGAAATAAAACAACACAATGGAGGCCGTCGTAATGCGACGCAGCAATTCTTACGTAACTCGCGACTCTAATCGACACGGCCGTCGCGTCCAAAGATTCTGCTAGACTAATTTTCCGACCCCGTTGCTCCGCCCCGGCAGCGCTCAAAGATTCTACCGAATGCCCGCGCAAAGCTAAACCTGTTCCCCGCTCGGAACTAGCGCCTTGCAAGTTGTAGCTTGCTACAATTTGGCGTAAACACCTATTATATCCCAGCGCAAGTTGTCTACCTTTCCTTCCAGCTCCAGTATCTTCTCGTCAGTACTCAGGGTGCGTGTGTCATATGTTGCCAGGTCGTTTTGTCGTAAGTGACAACCGAACATCCACCGGAGATTCTTAGCACCCCATGCCCTGCCGTTACCATGGTCGCCACCTTAGCTAGGAATAGCGGAGCCACCGAAGACTGGGGGCCATTTGTTTGTGGCATGTGGCCATTGTTGCCACGCTTGGCGAGCGGGTTGGCAACCGCAGTTTTTTTTATTGTATGGTTGTTGTTATCTGGAAGATGCCGCTGGCCATCTCCTGCCTGCCTCCCTCTGTCGCCTCTTACGACACTCACGGGAAGATATTGGATAGTGGATATTCTCAGCCGCCACTACATGGCAAATCCACCATCTTTAACATACCATAGTTTGTAATATCAAAATAATAGCCTTTTACTAAATGCACATGAAAGTATATACGGTCTTATAACAAAAAAACAATTTTTAATATTTTTGTCAGTCTATCTGTTAATTCTGGCTAATCTCTGAAATACCTGGACAGATTTTGATAGGAATTTCTTTGGCAGATAGCTGATGTTATAAGGAATAACTCATGGTTATATTTTAGAAAAAAAAATTAACATTAAGGGCAAAAAATTTAAACCCATGAAATCCTATCAAAATATCACTTATGAAGTCACGGGGCACAGCTAGTATATAATATACAGCTTAATATTAATGGTAGCTATTACTAATTGACGTTACTTGCAAAAACTATGGCGCAAAAACAAACTGAAGCCTAAACTATGGCTGAACAGATTATTCAAAATAACCGTTTTTACTCACCAAGTTTAACAAGATTACATCATATGACTTATTCAGACATTAATCAGTCATTAATCAATTTAATCTACTTTTAAATATTCTTCCACAAGTATTTACTAGCTGTAACAATAATGCACATCCACCTTTTTACATGAATCTCCTATTTATTATTCCCAACTTTGTAAGAACAAAATGATTGAAAATTGTAATTAATGCTTCAACTAGCGATCTTTAAAAAACATCGTTTGAAAGAAAAATTGTGATGATATTTGACAGCTTCAATGCTAAATATGTCCAACTCGCTGTCAATTATTTTCTCCTTAAATACTTTTTACGACAATTTCACAAAAAAGTTTCACTTAAAATAGTTATTGTGACCGTCCAGTATATACTTACCAGTATTTCAAAGATACAGAGATGCGACGACGGGGATCGACCCACTGTATATACTATAATCTATGAGGTCAACTTCCAAAGATGATCATCTCCGATACAACAAGAAGTTAGTACAGATGCACTGAGCTATCTTTATTTTCAACCGTATCTGATGCAATGCTTACGCGATCAGCTTTGTATACAATAATGGTACTAATACACAGTCCACTACATCGTGAGAATTATGGCTCATAAACACTATCTCATAAGGACTAAGGAATATCACAAGTTCAAGGTAACAACTTAAATGTCATCTACATAGCTTGCACTGCTATGCTCCGGACTAAGGAATATCATAAGCTCAAGGTAACAACATGAATGTCATCTAGATACATCCGATCTCGTTTAAAAATCAAAATTGATATGCGTTTTCATCTAGGACTAAGAAGGAAGGCCTCATTACCAACGATAAGCTTAAACGTGGAAGAGCCATAGTATATTACGGTTGTATCACGAATGGGTCGGCTCGACCGGGGTAGAACTACGATCCCGCAGAACACCAGCGTAAATTCGCAGCTCAATGCTACTGTATGGTTAGTGTCGAGCGACCAGAGACCTATTTTACTGAAAACGAGGCATTTCATTTCAGTCCTCAACGTGACAACGCAACTACTTACATCTTGATTTGTAGTCGAGAATAGATCTAGACGTCTATGGGCCACAGCATCCACTTAACATCAAGCGGACTGTGTGCTCGCTTGTAACCCTTATTCTATAAAAAATAAGGTTCTTCGGTTCTTGTCACTCACTACATGAAACACGCAGCATAATGATACGGTTTTACGTGGGTATTGTGCACGCGTGATACTTGTTCGGTCCAGCCGACCTATTCTTACTACATCTATAATACTGTTACGAGCTTGGGGTTCGTGACAATAAAAACTGCCGATTGAATACAATAGTACTATTGATCACTTTAGTTCGTAGTTATATCGTTTTAAAATATTCGCTTGAATCGCCAATTCAATACTTATTCGGGCGCGGTAACAACCGGTCTTATATAGGCCCTCTTGAAATATTTCCTACTTAAATATCTGGAATTTTTAAGCACATACCGGTCCCGACTGACTAGGTGTAGTAAGTTCTAGTATGGAAATCTCTAGGATTAGTTCTACTACCGGATACTAGATGGCGCTAGTGCCATGTACCAGATATTATTTATGGCGCGCAACAATACTTAGAGCTTTAGCGTAGACCTATCAAGCATAAAAGTGTCAGAGATACGGCGATAATCGCAACGAAATCAGTTTACAATAAGCCACAACATGGCAAGACGCACGCAGTTTCTACCTCGCACGACCACATTGTGAAATTTACTATCGCCAGCGAATTTTCCGGACCCATACGACTTATGAGGACTCTAACTATATTCTAAAGGGCCGGCAAAGCGTTACATTCCATCTGGTTTTGCAAATGTTCATGGGCGAAGGTGATAACTTATCATCAGGTGAACCTTATGCTCCTTTTCCCTCCTCTTTCATAAAAAAGCAAATATATTTCATTATAAGTTGTAAGCAACATGACGGAGCAGGCTTTTGCAATTTTACGGTTCCACGGTAACGAAAGTCAGCATAGCAACGTCATAATTGATAAAATAAAAGGTATTACATTTTCTACAAACGGACATAACGACATTAAAATGCATAATAATTTTGTATGGATATAACAAATTATTAGATATTTTGTAATTTAATTACGAAAAATTATCGATTTTATTTTATAAGTTTAACAAGCACCTATTAATAAAAAAATAACAAAACAATCTGACTTCTGTGTCAATGTCAACACAAAGTGATTTAAACTTATATCGTTCATTATTTTATTGCCTTTTATCATTAAAGTAGGATAGGAAGTATTTGTTATTATTGTTTGGTTGTTATTATGGCAGAAGACGTGCCACGGAGGGTGAAAGTGACTTGGAGTGATGATCTGAGTCACGATTCAGAAGAAGAAAGGGGTAAGTTAATTCACTTAAAATATTTTTGTAGAAATTTCGAAATGGGGTGACGCTTACTAACGACTGCCGACAAGTCGCGGCAAAAATCAAAAGTTTACGTAGTGTAGGCTTTTGATTATTCATTACCATAATAGCTTATCAAAAGTACTGAACTCTCTCAGAGATTGCCTCATTTTTTTTTAAAGAATGGAGGTGACAAACAAACACACAGTCCATCTGATAGTAAGTGGATACTGTGGCCCATAGACATCTACATCTATCCTCGATTCTTAAATCAAAACGTAGATGCGTTGTCACTCCTGAGGACTACGATGGAATGCTTAGTTAAGGACGCGTTTGCAAATCAACCAAAATTAGGGTGTTTTTCGGTAGATTTTGTGAAAAAACTAAACCAAATCAAATATAAGTAAAAACTACCATGTATAGATTGGTTCTTCATCTGCAAATGTCTGTAACTCTTTTGTTGAAAATAGTAGTTTTTTATATTGTAAAAACGAACTTTCGTTGCCATTTTCTACAAAATTAACGATACCAGCTTGTGTTTCGGTAAATGTTTTGGTCTATTATCAACATATTTAAAAAATTTAAAAAATACTATAAGATGACAGACATATTCAATTAAAAAACCCTGGGTTTATTTTTTTAACAAAATGTCACTAATAGTCGTAAAAAAAATAAAAACTGATGCACATTTTTTCGCATATTTTGGTAATATGGATGAATCATAATGTATTGCAATAAGGGCTATTTTATTGTTGGTGCCTGCTTTGATTTATTGTACAAAGATTTCGATGAAACCACAGTCCGCGCTCGGCCGCCGTCGTGAGTGGACACTGTATCGCCTGTTTGCAGCGGCTCATTCTGAAAAGATCGCTGTACATACACAAAATATTAGAAAAAAACAAATTGGAAACATAGGTACTTGACAAGTGATAAAATTATTATTTTTATACTCACAGTTTTTATTTAGCTAAAAATAAGTAGGATATATAAACTTACCTACTACTGCAACTCGTGGACGAGCGGAACTAGGTGTGCCGAGTTTGGGCTCGTTTTGTTGGTTATGATGAGACCTTACCTCTGGACTTGATGGCATGACCTGAAGGTGTACTTTCGTGACCGCTATTTGAACTTCTTGCAGAGTAAAACTAGGGGTGACGAATTTGGGCTCCGTTTTGTTAGTTATGACGAGTCTATACCTCTGGACTTGATGGAGTGACCTGAAGGTCTAAATCGGTGATTGCAACTGGAACTCCTAGACTGGTAGAACTAGGTGTGCCGAGTTTGGGTTCGTTTTGTTAGTTACGATGAGACCTTACCACCGGACTTGATAGAGTGACCTGAAGGGGTAATTCAGTAACTACTGCTGGAATTTCTGAACGAGTAGAACTAGGTGTGCCGAATTTGGGCTTCGTTTTGTTAGTTATGACGAGTCCATACCTCCGGACTTGATGGAGTGACCTGAAGGTGTAGTTCAGTGATTACAAGTGGAACTCCTAGACTTGTAGAACTAGGTGTGCCGAGTTTGGGTTCGTTTTGTTAGTTACGATGAGACCTTACCACCGGACTTGATAGAGTGACCTGAAGGGGTAATTCAGTAACTACTGCTGGAATTTCTGAACGAGTAGAACTAGGTGTGCCGAATTTGGGCTTCGTTTTGTTAGTTATGACGAGTCCATACCTCCGGACTTGATGGAGTGACCTGAAGGTGTAGTTCAGTGATTACAAGTGGAACTCCTAGACTTGTAGAACTAGGTGTGCCGAGTTTGGGTTCGTTTTGTTAGTTACGATGAGACCTTACCACCGGACTTGATTGAGTGACCTGAAGGTGTAATCAGGTGGTTACAAATGGAATTCCTAGACTAGTAGAACTAGGTGTGACGAGTTTGGTTTCGTTTTGTTAGTTACGATAAGACCTTACCACCGGACTTGATGGAGTGAAATTCGGCACACCTAGTTCTACTGGTTCAGAAATTCCAGCAGTAGTTACTGAATTACCCCTTCAGGTCACTCCATCAAGTCTGGTGGTAAGGTCTCATCATAACTAACAAAACGAACCCAAACTCGGCACACCTAGTCCTACAAGTCTAGAAGTTCCACTTGTAATCACCGAACTATACCTTCAGGTCACTCCATCATGTCCGGTGGTAAGGTCTCATCATAACCTACAAAACGAACCCAAACTCGGCACACCTAGTTCCACCAGTCTAGGAGTTCCAGTTGCAATCACCGATTTACACCTTCAGGTCACTCCATCAAGTCCGGAGGTATGGACTCGTCATAACTAACAAAACGGAGCCCAAATTCGGCACACCTAGTTCTACTCGTTCAGAAATTCCAGCAGTAGTTACTGAATTACCTCTTCAGGTCACTCCATCAAGTCTGGTGGTAAGGTCTCATCATAACTAACAAAACGAACCCAAACTCGGCACACCTAGTTTTACTAGTCTAGGACTTCCACTTGTAATCACCGAATTACACCTTCAGGTCACTCCATCAAGTCCGGTGGTAAGGTCTCATCATAACCAACAAAACGAACCCAAACTCGGCACACCTAGTTCCACTAGTCTAGGAGTTCCTATTGTTGTAATCACCAAATTACACCTTCAGGTCACTCCATCAAGTCCGCAGGTAGGTAAGGTCTTATTATAACTGACAAAACCAGTTCAAAGTCCAGAGCTAACATCTCACTACCAGTAGAGGGCTTCCAGTGCCAAGCAGTCTTTGGAGCAGGTATTCATATTTCGTATCGAAGTATATTTCTGAGGTAGGTATAAGAAATGAAAAACAAATTCAATCTTTCAAATTATCAAAATAATTTCATTTGACTACGATTCCCACAGCCAACCGTGCGTACACTAGTGTGTGTGTGACTTTTGTCAATGTAGTAGTGCGATTCTATACCTATCCATTTTGTAAACGCGTCCTTAACAGTATTATAGGTCTCCGGTCTTCTACAGCAGCATTAAGCTGTTGCCTTACGCTGGTATTCTGTAAAGAACATTGCCGCACTCAGATCGAGCCGACCCATCATCATAGGGAAATAAGGTGGGTGTACCATGGAAGGCCACTCTAATAAATAAACAGTAATTATTCATTTATTTACTGGATAAATGAAACTAACAAATATTTAAGTAATACTTTGCTTTATTATGTAACATATAAACCACTTTTTTAATTGCAGATTTATTCCATATTGATTGAACTTAAGTTTCATTGAACTCTTCCAAATGGCCTTGCTAGAAACAAGGCTTCTAAGAAGGCCATTATAATAAATCAGTAATTTGACACTAAAGCTAAATATATAGTGATTAAATCTACAATATAAAGATGGGGTTTATATGTTACGTAATAAAATAAAGTATTACTTAAATATTTGTAAGTTTCATTTATCCAGTAAGTAAACGAATAATAACTGTTTATTTGTTAGAGTGGCCTTCCATGGTACACCCACCTTATTTTAACGACGTCGGTTCCCGAAATCATTGAAGCGTGGGACCGTACTGCCAAAATAGTAGCGCGAGCGATTCGCCGCCGCATCTGTGATGTGCTGTTTCAGTGCGATGGGTGTTTGTGTAAGTAGAAGGAATTTGTCATCACACGGAAATAACTACGAAATTTCAATAATTGGCCTTCGAAGGAACATGGGCTTCCATGGTCCACTCACCTTATTTGCCATTGTTGCCTCCCTCGCAAGCAAAGGGAGCCGCAGTTTTTATAATTTTGAGTTGTTAACAAGATGCTGCTGCCCATCTCCTTAAAAGCTTAGCCAATGAAGAAATTTTGCTTGTTGATAAATGCCACCATATAAAGAAGATTTTTCTTCCTCGTCAGCTCGTTACATTGGACAGGCGTTACAGGCCTCTTCAGTAGAATATATTTGTCTTAACCGCCACGCTTGGCCTGTGGGTTGCCAATCACATCGCTAGACGTCTTGCACCTCTGACTCTGCTTTTCGTCATCGAGCCATGTATTTGACTTCTGCTATATTATATCACCGTCTTTAAAAAACCTTGAGGTTCTTCTAGCCTCTCCCATAGTCTCCTCTTACAACATGCACGAGACGAAATAGGTTAGTTTCTCATAACAGGCAACCACACGCTGAAGAAGATTGTATAAGATTGTTAGAATGTATAATGCAAGAGAGATAATAAAAAGAGAATTATACACTCACACATGAATTATTTATGATGAAATTTTCGGCAATAACCGCAGTTAGAACTAAGTGTTTTCTTATAGCAAAATAAAAACGAAAATGTTCTTAACTTTAGTAATTTTTTTCAGAGCGCGAGCGCTTGGCGCAATTGGAACGCGAATTGGCTGAACTTCCAGTTAAGCCAGAGTACCCGCCAGAAGACCTTGAAAAACTGGTTACCTTTATCATGAAAATGACAACCCTCTACGACCTTCGGGAGACCGACTGGACACCTGAAACTAAAAATGGAATAGAGGAATGGATCTTGGAACCAAGATCCTTGATGCTGTGTATTTATTTTAAAGGCGATGTTCTAAAAACTGCTTTTGACATTCCACTAACACCTGTATACGATCTGATGTATTTTATCAGACAACCTGATTTTGTCTTCAAAGTGGAAACGTTCCACGATGACATTGTCTTTGGCACTTTTGTGGATTCCGTTGAATCCAATATGATACAAATTTTAGAGATGGTGTACGCTCCTTACTTTTTTGCTATCACGACATGGCCTGAAAGTAAGTGTTTTATTGTTATATAACTAATAAATATTAGAACATAAGTAATCTAATAGTTATGTTGTTACACTTTCTTTACATCTATTGAACTCAAAGAGCAACACGAGCCACTGGCTAATCGAAGGTTGGTATCCATAAGCAGGCGTTTCCCTCTGTCACTGTATAAGTAAGTGCACGCGGTCCTATGCGTACAATAAAACTAGTTACAACCGCACTCCTCACTAGACTAAATCTAGTTGTGCGGCTGAATTGACGTCCTACAAAAATGGCGAACCGTTCAGTTTTTTGCTGCAAAAAGAGATCTGTTATGTCAAATTTACAAAAGATGGCATTACCTTTCAAAACGTATATAAGTAATACGTCATTTTTATTCACATTATTGCTATTTTCTTTTTTTTTTATTTAAAATTACAACTATAACGGTCGTGTTGTTTCGAATTTGTGTACCAACACAGGCCGCTTGCCCTCATACAATATGCAGATATTTTGAGCTTTTAAATTGACGTTAAAATTGAAATTAAGAAAACCTCTGTTTAGTTTTCTTGATGGCACAAATACTGTATTAATATAAAAAAAAATCTATTACAACTATTTAGGAGATATAGCTTCCTAAAGTTATAAGTAACTAACATTTGTATAAGATAAGCGATTGATGGATAATAAAAGGTTTGAAAAGTGCTGTTTTGCTAATCAGCGCTTGGAATGTGAATACGTCTTTAATTGTTGTGAGAGTTTTGTAGTGACAGACGATTGTCTTTGTGTCATCAGATATCGCCGGGCTTAAAATGAAGGACGAATATGTCGGAAAAATGCTATGGGTTCTCCCATTGGGTCCGCAGAGAGCCCGTGTTGCTATGATTGAACTCTTTATCCTGCTATGATTGAACTCCTTGTCCTTTTTCCCACAGGCGTAAAAAGTGAATTTTGTTCCCACATTCACACGTTTCTGGCAAAACTGACTGATATGTATTACAAAATGCTTGGTATTACCGTCCTTTATATACCACGGGAAGGACAACAGCTTTCCTTTGAGCAGGCAAGTGCTGACAGAGAGCTGGTGAAAAGGCTTGAAGGTGTCGTGGTCTATTGGACTCATCAGATAAAATCTTGTATAGAAGACCACGCGTTTGTGTCGTCGCAACAGGAACTTTTGTGTCCGAGTGATGAGTATGACTTTTGGGTTTACAGACGTAAGTATTCGACAAATCTAAGAATGTTTCTAAAACAATAATAATTTTTAATAATAATAATAATTTTATTTCATTTGGTATTTTACAATTTGCATAGGGTAGGGAGCATCTTTTAAGTACCTTAAGGCCACCATCCTTTTACAAAAATTATAAAACATCGGCATCGGATATACAACTTTGACATTGTTTAAGATTTACTTATTTAACCGTACACAAAAAGTTAAAATAGGTCAGTTCTGTCAGTCTGTATTATTAAAACGCTTAGACATATTACTACAGATACGCTCATTAACAAAATTTATGTAGCATTAGCTCAATCGTTAATAACTTACTACTGCTTCCGATATCCGTGGAGCAACAAAAACAAAATTGTTGCAATTAGAAAGAACTCAACGTGCCTTAGTAAAGACAATGTTCTTTTTGCCTTATACATTCACAACTAAAAGCCTGTATTTAAAATCTGATGTACTCTAAGTATAAGAAAACTCTATATTTTACACATAATATTAAAAAAGCATAAAAGTTTGATTTTTGACCCAAATATTTTAAGCAAAAGAAAAAAAGACATTGTAGGGGGAATCCGGGAGACTTGCCCAGGGAGGAGACTTGAACCGACTCTGATTTCTCATTTGAATTTTCGCGCTAACAGCCTGATTGCCCACTAATAAGATGATAAGGTGGCAGCCAATCACGAGCGTTCAGCCATTTTGTCAAAATTCATACGCGTTGGATCTTGACCGGCATATATCTGTTTATATCATTCTCAAGTAAATAAAAATAGAAAAGCTGTTTTGATCGCTGTGAATCGATTAATGAAGGTAAGTAAGATTTAGTTTTATTATATTATCGCATGATTATCGTATTTGAATGTGTGTACAATGGCATTTTGTTGCAAATTGTGGTATCTGAGTAAAGCAAGCTAGAATCCGGAAAGGGGGGGTGTGGGAGATTTGAACCACTTAGTCGGTGGGAGATATGACCATTGGTTCAAGTCTCCCTTCAGTGGCTACAGCTGCGTCTGTTGACTGTTGCTAAGTTAAGTGCTCTTTTTATATTCCAGGACGAAGATGCCGTTTCAATACAAACCCCAAGGCACTATCCGTCGCAGAAAATTTACAAAGCGTGGCCTTGAACAAGCTATTAGTGAGATTCAGGGAGGTGCTTCTATTAGGAAAACAGCCATTAAATATGACATTGATAGAACGACTCTAAAAAGGTACCATGTTCGCGGTAAAGCGACATTAAATAAAATAGAAGAAAAAGGTAGTCAGTAAGCTCACTCAAAAGCTCGCAGATTTTTGACAATAGGAAAGAAAAGCAATTAGTAAACTACCTTTTGGCATGCAGTAAAATTCACTATGGACTGACGAGAAAACAAGCCATGCAATTAGCCTTTGATTATGCTCTAGCAAATAATAAAAAAATACCTCAAAGTTTGACAAATAACAATTTTGCTGGAAAAGATCCGAGGTTTCTTAGCTAGAAACCCGGAAATAAGCTTAAGGACGCCTGAAGTCACCAGTTTGTCGCGAGCTACAAGTTTCAACAAAAAAAAATGGGACCGACTTTTACGAAAATTTGAAGCAAGTGCGAGAAAAGTATAATTTTGAGCCACAAAATATATATAATTGTGATGAAACTGGCTATACTACTGTCCAACAATGCCCCAAAGTATTGGCAAGTAAAAAAGCCGAGCAAGTAGGACATGCCACCTCTGCTGAAAGAGGTACTCTAGTTACAGTCTGCTTCGCTGTAAACGCCATTGGAAATGCCATGCCTCCTTTTTTCATATTTCCGCGTGTTAAATACTGACCTGACTTTGTTAATGGGGGACCTGAAGGGTCTGATGGAGATTCATACATTACGGGTTGGATGACTGCCAAGAGCTTCCTAAAATTCATGGAACATTTCAAAAAGCACTCCCATGCATCGAAAGATAATCCCGTGTTATTAATTCTTGATAACCACGAAAGCCATGTGAGCATCGAAGTGATAAGTTATACAAAATCCAACGGCATCACATTACTTACACTTACGCCCCATTGCAGCAATAAATTGCAACCTTTGGATATCTTCGTCATTTAAATCGAGATATAATACTGCGTTGAGCAACTGGATGCTTTCAAATCCTGGAAGGATATTAACGATATACCAAATTCCTGGATCATCAAAACGATTATGTCGCAAGCATTCAGCCAAGCCAACATTTTAAGCGGATTCAAAAAATCGGGAATACATCCTTATAATGATAATCTATTCAGTGATGAAGATTTCATGTGTTCTGCTGTAACAGATAGGGATATATCCAATGAAAATTATGAACTTCCCAGTAGTTCGTCTCAATGTCGCCAAACCCAGCTTGCCTTTTCAAGCGCTCAGCAAGTTCCACCAGATTTTCCGCAGAGCTTCAACGACGTTGATCAGAAAATTCCGTCAACATCTCAACATATCCCTAAGGATGAAGTTCAGGAACCTCCATCTAGTCCCGTGCTTGTTTTAATTATTTTCGCTTCTGGATTCAGTGACTGTTTCTCTAACAAATAACCAACTAAACCCTCCAGCTCAGAAAAGTCCGCAAACCTCTGACAAAGTCTTAAAAAGCTTTTCACATGCACCATCAGACTCTGAACCAAATTCACTCAACTGTTCTAAATTTATCCTGAGAGCCTGGTGAATTGTTGCCTCACTAAATTGAATGACACTCTCATGGCTCAATTAAATTGTAATTTAAAAGTTTCTTTTCATCAGTGCCAAGAGACTGATAAATTATTATTATCCTCCGAATTCACCTACTCTGACGCAAAAGCTGGATATTCCGCAAACTCCGGACCATATTACTAAAAAAGTAACTATTACACCAGAAATAATAAGGCCATATCCAAAAGCTGCACCCCGAAAGACAACACGGCGTGGACGACAACCTGGAAAAACAAGAATTCTAACAAAAACTCCTGAAAAAATTACAGATGATGATTCAAATGAAATTCTTAAGAAAACAACAACTAAGGTCAAAGGTGACAAGTCTTCAAAAACTAAAGCTAAGAAGAATATAAAAAAAGGAAATAAGGTAGACACAAAAAAGCAAAGAGGCAAGTTTTACAAGAAAAGAACAATGACACTGACCTTGATCTCTAATTACAATGTTACTTTTATAAGTGCCTTATTATAATTAAGAGTGATTATTGATTTCGTTATAATTACAGTTAATTAAGAGTAAGTGACATTCATAAAATGTCAAAACTGTTACGTTACGTTTTGTTAATTGATTAAAATAATGATAAAACCTTTGATATTTAAATTGTTTTCCCAGTAACAGAAAGTATGGTTAAATCTCCCCAACCCTATGGTCAAATGTCCCATGGGTTGGGGAGATTTGAACAATTTCTGACTTTTTAAAAAAAGTTCCATAATTCTTAGTAGATAAAAGTTATTATAACATTTGTACCACCAATCGAAGCCTATTGAATTAAGCAATCCAAGTGTTAAAGACTAAGATATCTACAAGAAATCAGATTTTACAGTCATTTTTGTGAAAGAGGGTTCAAGTCTCCCGGATTCCCCCTACTTAACTCATTTTTTGTTAAAATTGCATTCGCTAGACGTCAGTTCATTATATTATACATCTATCTGCATAATTTTGTCAACAAAAAGCTTAATATATACTGTAGAAATACCAAGGACTGCAAGTTTTTGATTATAAATTGGCTAAAGACTCTGTCTTACGAAGACACAGAAAAACTTACATGTTTCAACACATAGGCTGAAAACACGCATTTATTTTTGATAATTTTTTTGTATAATATGTAATCTCATGTCTCTAAAACGTTTTGTATGGCTATGGAAGAGCGGGAGTTTCTGACACAAGTGCCTATGCAAATTCTAAAATACCAAATGAAATAAAATTATTATTATTAAAACAATATCTATGTTTTATAAAGTAGGAAATGAAACTATATTCTCGCATCTGAATAATTTCATTCAACATTTTAATTTTTAAATTTTCTTCAATACAAAATTACCGTACTATTTTACCTATTTTAGATGAAAACCTAAATGCTCTACTCTACCAACTACAGAATCCCGCAGTAAAGCACATAACGAAAATTCTTGTCACAACGCATTCGACGTTCATCCATCAATTTCAAACGCTATGTGAAGAAATAGTTCAAAAGATAATAGAAGCTTCTTCAAATATAGAATTCTTACAAATTATTAAACAACCCTGTGCTGTTTTAGAATGTGTAGTCGATCCAGATGAAATTTCCAAACACATTCCACAAATTATTAATCTCTTTAGATTTATCTGGAAAGAATCTCCATACTACAACTCTGAAGCTCGCATCACAAATCTTTTCAAAGCTTTGAGCAACCAAATTATAATTTTATGCAGAAACTATATCCGGTTGGATGATCTCTTCGAAGGCCAGACGAAAAAGGCGCTTGGAGAATTCAGCAAGTGTATAGACTGTTGCAAGAAATATCGAGAAATTTATGACGTGATGGCTGAAGCACATAGTGAAGAAAACCCTGGCACTTGGGAGTTAGATACAGGATCTATTTTTAATTATATAGATTCATTCATACAGAGGTGCTTCGATATGTTAGATGTTTGTAATTGTATGATAATTTTCGGAAGGTAAGGGTATGTTTTATTTAGTATAATATGAGCTTCCTTAAGGTGCGAGGAGCCGAGCATGAGCTGAGCACAAGCTGAGCCGCTCTATTCGCGGTGTCAAGTGTGGACGTACAACGAGCCTACAACATGCAAGTCGATGCATGCGGTATAAATCCCTTTGTATTTGTCCAAAAAACCGACAAACGGCGGAGCACAGTCGAGCACGAACCAAACGCTCGAAGCAGGCTCGTTCGAGGCTTGTAATTCGGTCCACACGACACGAATTTGTGCTCGGCTCATGCTTCGCTCGTGTCCGCCTCGTCTAGCGTAGACCCACCTTTAGACTTTTTTCTTATGTATATATTTTGTGAGGTTAAATTTAACCTGTGGAGAGAATTATAATCTATAATGTGAGTTTCTTGCCGCTTTTTCTTACAATGTTACAATCTTTAGTCTCCCAGAATAAAGGAGAATAATATGAAGCTCATTTTGACGATATTAAAATGCATTTAAGGATCGACGAACTAGAAAAAATTAATAAGCCATTATTTGCTGGAGCACGTGGTGACCAATTTGAGGCAAAATGCGGCCAAATCGAAAAACTGTTTAACGCCGCTCTTGATAACGTCAAAAATGTAGCGTCTATAATCCTCGATGTTCAAGCGCCTGCATGGTACGACGATATACTTCACTTTCGAACTGTTATTAAAGACATTGAGGTCAGTTACTCTAAAAATAATACTTGCAGACCTAATTCGTAAGAATATTAGATTTAAAAAATCTGTTAATTTTTACTTTAGATAATAATAGAGAATTTGGTAGAATCCGTATTTGAAGGTGTTAATCATGTGGAGGAAGCTGTAGTGGCACTTTATTCATTACATAACTACTCCAAGAGGAAGAAATTGAGGCGGATATTTAAAAGGAAAACTGCTGAGGTATGCTCAAACTGACATTCTTCTAGCCTTTTCACGCATTTCTAAATCACGTGGAAAAAGATAAATACCGCTTAAATTTAAAACATTTCAGTAATTAATCTTTATTCCACTTTGCAATTCCAAACTGTGTTTTCCATTATCCGATCGATATAAATAAAATTGAAATATCCGTCAGTTATATCGAAATAACTGCCTTTTATTAAGGTCACGAGGTTATTTGCATGTTATTAATACAGAAATAACCATAACTCATTAAAAATTTTGTCTGTATGTCTGTCCCTGCTAATCTTTGGAATGGCTGCATCGATCGTGATGAAATTACGAAATTTCATGACCAGAGCCAATGCCAGAAATGATCTACGTTTAGTATTTTACCAGTTTATGAATTTGTGTTTTAATTTAAATGCCATTTTGCCAATATTCCTTAGGTGTGGGGAATGTTTAGTGACGAGGTACAAGACTCCAAAAAGGATATGGTGTCCAGTCGTGGTCAGTTCCCAGCAGATCTGCCTTCATTCGCTGGCAGAGCGGTAGTTTTAAGAATGAGGAAGAATCGGCTGGTTTATTTGAAGAAGGTATGAATAACAAATACCCTTTTTTAATTTTATAATAATTTTTATTCGTATTTTTTTTCGAAATCAGTAATTAATGATTTGATAATAAAAAACTAAAAAAATCAAAAGGAATTAATTGTCTTTAACACAATTTCGTAACTTTGAGAATGAGTGAGACCCTTGAAATCTTGAAACCAATCTGTGTTATTTTATGTTAATTACAATTATTTTCATAACTTAAAGGACAGCAGCGCAGCGTCCTTTGTGGGCCGGAATATTGAATAGATATTATAAACTCTTTTGCATTATGTTCTTGTGTTGTTCGAAAATAAATGTTTGAGTACGTCAAATATATTCATTTGTTGTTATGTAACTTAGTTGAAAGAAACAATGGGAAGATTAAAAATACTTTCTCATAACTTTAGGTAATGACCGATGCATCAGTTTGGATGATGCAGTGCAGCAACTCTGAAGATGTCATCATGCACGTCAACCGGCTGACGGGAGCTATTGACGTCGCTATCAGAGAGCTTTGGATTTCGTGGACGGTAAGTTTGTACTTCGAAAATGTTATATCGTATATATCGAAATATGTTATATATTTGCTTTGATGTGTTTTGGCCGGTTTGTCAGATCTGAAGGCCAAAATATCTGGATACATTTTTAAAAAGTTGGGATTTTGGGGTTGTTGTCGGGAGAAATAAATATTAAATAGAAAAAGTTTATTTTTTTAACTAAGAGTCTACAAAAAAGTACTTTAAACAAAACTAATTTAAGTAGGTACACTTTATTTTTAGGTTGCCACATGTATTTGGCATTGGACTTTGTACACTTTATAATAAGGTGCACTTTTGCTTGCAGGTGAAATAATTCAATAAACGTGTCTTCACTCAATGATTACTTTATTCTTACTGAACATACATTATGACATCTATTGCCGCGCAAACAACTACAGCGATATACATTGTTTTATAGGGATAATTACATAGGGTTACCCGACCGCTAGAAAAAAAATCAAATATGTACTAAACATACCGCCCCCCAAAAACCACAGTTTTTTAACTAAGTGCTCAAAAAGAACAAAATTCAAAACAAAATGTAATGCACATAGTAATTAAGTTACAACTTATACCTTAAACTTAAACACGAGAATTGAAATCTGAACAGCAAAACCATTTTTCGCTCAAACCTAAACATATCTTATTATAACATGCAACACATGTATGGAATGGGAGCACTTGTACAAAATTCCTACTATCTGTAAAATATCAAAGTACTAGGCACTATGAAGTATTTATTTTTACAATCTTATGATCGAGTTGATTTATTATGAAGTAGAAAAAGAACAACAATAAATCCTAAATATAATTTTTCAATGGTAATTTATATTATTTCCTTTTACTTACAAACATGGACTGTATCTGCATGTAACAATACCTTTATAAATTAATTTAACATTTCAGCACTTGTACTCCAAATAATATGCATGAAGGAGCAATATAAGTCAACCTTAAATCGAAAAATAGGTTTACATTTATTTAGACAATAAAGTAATTAATATGCTACGAAAAAAATTCATAAACTTAAGGCTAAAAGATTACAAGTTTAAACTTAAAATATGCTATAACAAAAGTGTTCTCATTACCATTACATCATTGTTCAGGCACAAAGTCCTCTGTGGCTTATTGTTTTAGCATGATACATTGAAACTTCATATTTTATCATTTGCCTTTTTTTTACTGACCTTTTTTATTGTATATAGATATTCTAGTGACATAATGTAATGAAATATCATTAAAAATACAAGTGATGTTATAGAAAAATGTGAAAGTAACTGACCACTATTAGGTATAACCCTCAGCATTGACCTTGTTCTTCATCATTCGGTTTCATTGGAAGTAATATTAACTTAGACAATGGTCTCTTAAGAATGTTATCACCCTTGCATTGCACTGTTGCCACGCGGACGAGTTGATCAGCGCCAGGGTGTAGTGTTATAATTTTTCCTAATAACCATTTCGCCGGTGGGAGATCATCTTCCTTAATGATTACGATATCTCCAACACATGGAGACGGCACTGTGTCTTGCCATTTATGCCGTTGCTGTAATGAATGGAGATATTCCGATTTCCATCTACGCCAAAAATCTTGCATCCTGTTTTGTAAGAATTGCCATCTAGATAACATACTTACGCTTTTGTGCTCATAATTTGTGTCTGGTATATTAATTATTGGCTCACCAATGAGAAAATGACCTGGGGTGAGTGGATCTAGTGTTTCACTGGTGTTTTCGGAATGACAGATAGGTCTCGAGTTTAGACAGGCTTCTATCTGTGCCAATGGTGTTGCCATTTCCTCATAGGTCAGCTTTGTAGTACCACTTATTCTCGACAAATGTTTCTTGACCGAACGAACGCCTGCCTCCCATAGCCCACCAAAATTGGGTGCCTTCGGCGGAATGAAGTGCCATGTTGTACCATCATTTGATAGGAGCTCAGCTACCTCTCTCGCCAGATTAGCTTTGCCCTGTTCAAACATACACTTTAATTCCCTTGCGGCTCCCACAAAGTTGGTGCCATTGTCACTCCACAAGTTCCTACAGTGACCTCTTCTTGCAACGAATCTCCTGAATGCTGAAATAAAGGCTTGTGACGTTAAATCCGTAACAGCTTCGAGATGTATAGCTCGCGTAGACATACAAACGAAGACACAAATATAGCCCTTTGTTGACTTGTAACCACGGCCCTTTGAGGTTCGCAATTGCACAGGTCCGGAAAAATCAACTCCACTGTTGAAAAAAGCACGGTTCGGATTCACTCTTGCAGATGGTAACTGGCCCATCAGTTGCTGCTTAATTTTTGCCTTGTCAATTATACACACCTTACAGTTACGAATAATTGCTCTGAGAGCAGACTTCAGACTAACTACCCAGTACTTGCTGCGGATGTATGTAAGCATCTGAAGAAAACCTCCATGCAAAGTTCTTATGTGGGCTTCGTTAATTATAAGCTTAGTAATATGCTGCTTTTTTGGTATTATAATTGGATGTTTAGCATTCTCATTTATATTAGCATTAGATAGTCGCCCTCCTACTCTAAGAAGCCCCCTTTTGTCTAAAAAAGGTGTAAGACTTATCAAAGAACTTCTACCTTTTATCTTTCCTTTTTTATTAAGTTCTTCAATTTCATCTTCGTATACTAAGTACTGGTAGTATTTTATACATTTTTCTTCAACTTCATTCATTTCTTCCATAGTTAAATATGTTTCCTTTTTCTCTTTATTATGTAGAAATCGTAAACACCATGCAAGAACTCTTTTCATTCGTAACATAGATGAAAATCGTTCCCAAACTGGTTTCTCCTTTAATACTACATTAAAAGATCCTTTCATCTCTAAGTATGTTTGAGGAATATAATTCTTTGTTAAATCCCTTCCTTTATTTTTTAACCACTTTGGTCCAGCCCACCACATGTCATTGTTTACTATTTCAATTGGTGCTATCCCTCTTGACGCGAGGTCAGCGGGATTGTCGGTTGATTGAACATGATACCACCTGTCATTGTCTATCAACTGAATTATGTTCGACACTCTATTGCCAACAAAAACTTGCCATCGACTTGGTTGAGACTGCAACCAAGACAGAACCACCATTGAATCAGTCCAGGCATATATTTGATCCATATGTATATCCCATAGACCAGACAACTCGTGCAATAGCTTAGCCAATAACACTGCAGCGCAAAGTTCTAATTTCGGAATCGTCAATTGTTTCAATGGTGCTACCTTAGTTTTAGATGCCACCATTGTGACGTAGATCCTGTCATATTCATCCAAAACCTTGATATAGACCACTGCTGCATACGCAACAGAAGAGGCATCTGCGAATCCATGCAATTGCACTTCTTTGCAGCGTGACGTCGTTTTAATCCAGCGCGGGACTTCAATATCTTGCAGTTTTTGAAGCGCTTCTCTGTAACTAAGCCATTCCTCTACTAGCTCAGAAGGTAGTTCATCATCCCAACCAAGATTACTTAACCACAGTCTCTGTATCATAATTTTAGCTGTAATAACCACTGGAGAGAGCCAGCCAAATGGATCAAAGAGCCTGGCCACATCTGATAATATTAACCTTTTTGTAACAGGTTTCCTGGTTTCCGGTATATTGACTGTAACCTTGAACGTATCCCTTTTTCTGTCCCATGTGAGACCAAGTATTTTTATCACCTTATCTAATTTAATTTCTATTCTGTCCACCGTTTCCAGACTGTCTTTGTCATCTTGCAGAAACCTCAGCAACTCGTCAGAGTTGCTAGACCACTTCTGCATTTTAAAGCCGCCTTTCTTTAACAGATTCTTAACTTCATCGCAAATTTCTTTGATTTCTGATAGATCTTCGTGGCCCGTCATTAAATCATCCATGTAGAACGAATTCTTAGCAACAGCAGATCCTCGGGGGTACCTGTCAACTTCATCATCAGCCAGCTGGTGTATAGACCGTACAGCAAGGTATGGTGCTGCAGCGGTTCCAAAAGTTACAGTAAGTAATTTATAACTTTCTATATCTCCAGACATATCATCGCGCCAAACAATACGTTGTAAATTTGTGTGTTTGTTAGTCATCCTTACTTGACGATACATTTTTACTATATCCCCGACAACACAAATTTTGTGAGACCTCCAGCGAGTGATAAGAGCACGAAGTTCAGGTTGTAAAGTGGGGCCAATCATCATGGCGTGGTTTAAGGAGAGACCATTCGAACCCTTGGCTGAGGCGTCGAAGACCACTCTTACCTTTGTAGTGTCTTTATCCTTTCTTACGACCGCATGATGGGGTAAGTAAATTGCTTCCTCTTCCTCTTCCTTTTCAGCTTTCTTCATATGACCCATCTTTAAGTACTCATGTATCACATTCTTATACTCTGTTCTCAAATCTTCATGTTTGGTAAACATCCTTTCCAACTGTTTAAATCGTTTGATGGCCAGAAATTTAGTTTCACCGCATGTTTTCACGGTTTCCTCAACACTATGCTTTAAAGGTAAATGGACTACATATCTTCCAGATGTATCCCTTGTCGTTGTATTTATGTAGTGTCTTTCACATATTTCTTCTTCCTTTGTCCATGCTTTCTTGCTTGTGTATTCTTCCGATTCTATTTCCCAGAATTTTTTCAACAGATTATTGTCTTCATCTACGAGCCTGGTGACATGTAAGCTAACTTTTGTATTTCAGTAGGATTTGCGTATATATCACCTGTCAATATCCAGCCTAGATGTGTGCGTTGAGCAATTACATCGCCCGGTCCCTTTAGTAGACCTAAATCTATAATTTTGCCGAAAACGTCAGCTCCAAGTAGGATATCAATCCGACTCGGGACGTTAAAGCTGGGATCAGCTAATTTCACATTTTTAAGTTGAGGCCAATTGTACCCTCTTATTTCCCTAGCTGGTAGTCTACGCGTCAACGACTTCATTACATAAGCATTAACATCTATAGAAAAATCACGTTCATGCCTCGACTTAATATGTAATCCTACTAAATGATTAATGT